CAAGGATTCCAGAATTACTAGTGTTATGACAAGCAAAGCTTCCATGTGATCACCCTAACCACTGTATGTTCCCAAACATGTTGCTACGTATTAGTATAGACAGTGGGAATGAAATAAAATTAGAAAGATTGTTCTTTCTTACTTCCTGCTCAAATTTTTAGTCATAACATGCCAGAAAAAAGATTGAAACATAAAAAAGAAGAAAACATCTATTTGCTTTTCAAAACTCTGAATCAATTATTGAGTTAAACTTGGTGCCTGAAGAAAAGAATGAATTAAGGCAGCTTAGTTTTTAATTACACAAAAGAACAATTATAAAACATTGAGTTTATCATCATTTTAGATTAAGATTAAAGAATATTCATTGTCAGTTAAAAAAAAGTTTTGCTATTCTTATTCTTCACCACAACTTTTTGTTTGAACTAGGATTTTCAGGTTTAACTTAATTTAAAACAAAACAAAAAGCAAGCAACAAAGAACACACTCCCAGGTGTATTGTCTGCATATGTTCCAGACTGGAATAATTTTATGATAGGCAAGCATACTTGTTGAATTAAATAAAATCTTTCCTAATTTTTCTTTTTGTATTATTTATTTTGAGATTTTTTTCTATGTTGTATTTAAATATTAATGAAATCATGTTTTATATATACTTTGTTTTTGCTTTAATATACTTAGTAAAGATAACTAACATTTTGTGAAAATTTGATGTACATACACACAAAGACATCACACTGAGTCACAATGTAAAATGTATTTCTTATTATGCGTTTTTGTAAACTGGTGAAATGAATTCCTTTATGTGGCCTTTTGCCTTGGTGCTTTAGAAAAACAGCTTGAGAGATTTTTTCCCTAAGCCCTGAGGAGTTACCTTTGTCCTAGTTTTCTACCCCAGAGGGTTTATTACTTTTGTCCAGATTGATTGGCATTTCCTGGGTAAGTTGTAAACAACTTGGTTTGATACTTTTTTCTGGCCCTTGGCTGCAGCCTGCCCTATGATTGGTATGTATCTTACAGGGATTGGTCAGTAGACTATGCAAATAAGGTGAGTTGTAGCCTAGCCTTGCCTGCTATGCAAATGAAGTGTGTGTGACCTGCCAAGAGGGATTGGTCAGTTTGTGGCCCTGGTGGGAGTGCCATGTCTTGAAATTGACAAGAAGTTTGTGTATTTAAGCAGCCAGCCCTGCAAAGGTTTGAGGCAGAAAAAACCAGGAAGAGAAGTAGCAGGAAAAAGCAGAAGGAAGAAATCAGAGAGAGGAGGCAAGGAGCCTCCTAAAAGAGTTGTAACAGTGGTCAAAGGCTGTAACACTAAAGACAGCAACAGGCCCAGAAGGGGCCCAGCAACAGAGCCTGCAGTGACAGACAGCAGGTCCAAGAGGAGCCTGTCCTCAGGTTGTCTAAGAGACCTGAGAGAGTTGTCCTGCACTGAAGAAGGGAGACTCTGCCTACGTGCTTCCTGATCTAGACCCTGAATTGTAGCCTGTGATCTTGATCCCAAGTTGTACCCTGTTTCTTAATAAACCACTTAACTGTAAGTACAGTTCAGTGAGACTTTGCAGCAAATCGCCAGACCCAAACGGGGGAGGGAAGAGTGCTGAGAGGAGGGAGAGTGGCCAGTGTCAGAGATAGAATGGTGCATTTCTTCTTCGACCCAAGAGTTGTTTAAGAGAATTTTTAGTTTATGTGTTGTTTTTTGTTTCCATTTTTATTATTCATATTTTATTTTATTGCATTATGGGCAAAGAGTGTAGGCTAGTTTAGTCTACACTATTTCTCCCTATTGGGAAAAGGTATATTCTCTCTTGTAAGTGTGTGTATGTATGTTTGTATATTTACATATTAGATCAACTTTATTTATTATATAGCTCATTTGTACATTTTTTATAACTTTCTAGTTTGAAATAATTTTAGACTTACAGAAAAGTTGCAAAAGAAGTACAAAGAATTCCTATATACCCTTATTCCAGATTCCCCAATGGTTAACATTTTACTACATTTACTTAATGATTCATTCTCTTTCTCCCTCCTTCTCTCTCTCTTTTTCTCTCTTTATACCCACACATGGACTGTTTTTCAGAGCCATTTAAAAATAACGTATACTTATTTTTTGCCTACTTGATCTGACGTAGGTTAATAAAATGAGTTAAAGACTCATACAATTGCTGTGTTTTAATCCATTTCTTCTTTCATTTCTTAGAATTTTTGCTTTATGTATCTTGATACTATGTTATTTAATACATAAAGATCATGACGGTTACATCTCATTGTGTTTCAAATGCCCCTCTGTTTCATTTAATACTTTTTACTTTAAAAATCAGTTTTAAATGATTTTAACATCATGTCCTTTAGAATGGTATAAGAAACGGGCTCATACGATAACCTGTCTGCCAGCATCAGAAATGCTAGGAAAGCACACCAGCCTGGGGGCAAGGACGAGAAGGCAGGAGGGGACAGGAAAGCTGGATGAATGGAAATGGGGAACCCAAGGTTGAGAAGGGGAGAGTGTTGACACATCACGGGTTTGGCAACCAATGTCACAAAACAATACATGTGTTAATTGTATGAGAAACTAATTTGCTCTGTAAACCATCTAAAGCACAATTAAAAAAAAAAATGCTAGGAAAGGCTTTATTACAGGCCAGTGGTTTTCAGATGCTTTTGATCTCAGAAACCCTTTTCATTCTTAATAATTATTGAGGACCTCAAAGAGCTTTTGTTTTTTGTTTGTTTGTTTTTAAGGACTTTTATTTATGTGACATATCTACTGATATTTACCATTTACCTTATTAGAAATTAAAATTGAGAAATTTAAAAATAGTATTAACTCATTTAAAAAAAACAATAAACCCATTATGTATTAACAGAATAGCATATCTTATCATCAAAATCTTATTTCCCAGACAACAAACAAAAATAAGAATGGCATTGTTTTACATATTTATAATTTCTTTAATTTATAACTTAATAGAAAACAGATGATCATATCTGCATCTGTATTCAATCTGTTGCAATGTTGTTTTGGTTAAAGCATATGAAGAAAATCTGGACTCACACAGATAAGTAGGTGAAAAAAGGAAAGAGTCTATATACCTTTTCATATAATTGAGGACACTCTTCTTGATACTATACCAAAACTCAACAAGTGATAGTTTCTGAAAGGTTAGTTGGAAGATGGAATTTGAAACCATAAATGAAATTTTGTACTCTGATATACTAAAATCCATTGGTCTATCTTGCTCTTTAGGAGCCCTGGTGACGCAATGGTTAAAAGCTTGGCTGCTAACCAAAAGGTCGGCAGTTCAAATCCACTAGCTGCTCCCTGGAAACCCTATGGGGCAGTTCTACTCTGTCCTGTAGCGTCATTTTGAGTTGGAATCAACTCAACGGCAATGGGTTTTTTTGGTTTATTTTGCTCTTTGGATCATTTAGCCATGTATGATTTTTCAGTTTTTGAATGCCCTAAAAGGGCCTTGGGGATCCCCAGAGATCCTCAGACCATGCTTTGAGAGCTGCTGTGATAGGCTAACCATGGAGCTGCATCTGATTGCACACAGATGTGTCTCTAAACCCAAGATTTCACGCCAAACCATACCAATAATATTCTTTCTTTCCTGACAGTAAATATGCTGAGCACCTACTCTGTGCCAAGAGGATGCTAGGCCCAGGGAGAGGCACAAAAGAACCTCTATTGAAACTAAGATAGAATGTGAGAAAATTTTAATTGAACTGTCTCTGCCTATAAGGACCTTGTAGGCTGAGTAAGGACAGAACTAACAAGATGTAACAATTTGATGGCAATTAAATATTAAAAAACTATGTGGTGCAAACCTGCACCTGCAATTGGCTGGAGTTCAGAAAAGAAAAAGTTCATCATGCATAAGAGCAGTGAAAGGAGACTGTCAGGAGAAAGGCCTTGAAAAGAGGATTTAAATAAAGAAATGGAAATCTAAAAGAGGGCAATCACAAAAGAACAGAAGGAGGAATGAGGGTGGTATACTCTTGGGAAAACTATAAGGACACCTCCCTTACTAGAACCTGGAGTGACTGATGGGAATTAATGAGACATGAATGAGTTGGCCGGGGCTGTGTCACGAAAGTCCTGAAAGCTACACAGAAGAGTCCAAGCTCAATTTGGTAGAAAATAAGGAACCATGTAGTCCTGCCTCACCAGCTTCTTGTAAACAAAAATCATCAGACTAGTTAATTTTACTTATTTTTTAAATGCTGTATTCTTAGATACTCCTATATTCTAGGATTCCACCGGGAGTCTTCCCATTCATGTGTATTGATGTGACTTTTTTCTCAGTTCACACGATAGTGGTTGGTTATCTTTTCTCTGTCAGCCATTCACTCAAGTATTTTTAACACAGTTTAAGTGGGAAATAATCCTTGGTAGAAAGGCTCTGTGTATTATGTCATTCTCCGTATCAAAGCTCCTTTATAATATATGATCCAAGGGATGGTTCACTGGCCGGTAATTATGAGATAAAGAAGGAAAAAATGGCAACTTTGTCCTCTCTGTCCAGTCCGTGTATCTCTTAAGACCACAAGATTTTTTCCCTCCAGTCACATTACATAATACATACAACCCCTACCTCGTGTGTTCCAGTGTTTTGGAGGCCCATGCTTCTGTTTCAGGTGCTTTGGTTAGGAGCTTTCCTTGAAATACCAAGTCTGTGCTTGATTTAGGAACGCTGGTGGTGCAGTGGTTAAGCGCTTGGCTGATAACTGAAAGGTTGGCGATTTGAACCCACCAGCCACTGTGCGGGAGAAGGTTGTGGCAGTTTGCTTCCCTAAAGATTCACAGCCTTGGAAACCCTGTGGGACAATTTTACTCTGTCCTACAGGGTCGCTATGAATCAGAATCAGCTTGACTGACAGTGGTTTGGGTTTTTTTTGTTTGTTTGTTTGGTTTGGGTTTTGTTTTTGTTTTGTTTTTTTTTTTGGTAGGTACTTTATTTCAACCCTTTTGTTTGTTTTTTCTCTCTTTCTTCATGAAGACCTGAAGATGAGATGTTTTTGGAAAGACTTTCTAGAGGTTACTCATTGGGAAAGGACTCCAACGCTTCCCTTTTCTGCAAAGAAGGAGGAAACAGAAAATTTCAGGAGAAGGATTATATGGGAGCAGCAGTGTTGTACTCTAAGGTAGGCCACTCCCAGCCCAGCAGGAGGAGCTATCTCAACAATTTAATGATGCATATTTCTTCAGAAGATTGAGGCCATATTGCTGAATTTTGTAGCCAGTGTTAGTTAGCTTTGTCTGTAATTTGTGGTTTGGCTTTGGAAAAGAAAACGTGGCAGAATTCTGCTGTTGATTATATTCTGAAACAAAGAGTAGTTTGTGTCATATGTCCTGAATGCCATCAGGAAACTTCTGTTCCCATATTTCTTTCCCTCATTCCTTCAGACGCCTTGTAGCAATAGGTTTCTTATACCCCTTGCCCTGCCTTGTTCATGTCTGTCAGCTCTCCTTGAGTTGTCTGCCTTTTCTGTCTGAATGACTGATGAAGGCTGTTAGTCCTGATTTAGAGAACAGCTAGATCTTGGTTAGCCACAGTGTGTTAGCTTACAACCAGTGTGACTTAGATTTAGAGGGAAGAGTGAGCTCATTGTCCACAGCCCAGCTGAACTGCATTTTTGAAGGTTGTCAGTGAACATACTAATATGAGTCGCAGTCAACAAATGTTTATTGTGTGGCTATGGTTTAGCCATCACCAAGCTAGGTTTTGAGGAGGAATCATGGCATTTAACAGTCTGTTACTCTTACTGTCCTGCTTCCTTAGTAGGAACTAGAACAAGATCCCCTGAGAGACTTCCTTCCATAACTTGTAAAAGATTTATATGAGTTTAAAAAAAGAGTATACCAATCCCTTGCACCTGGTCTATGATTTAGTATATTAAAAAAAAAAAGAGTGGAAATTTGAAGGGTACCCCAACTCTGAGTCTTGCATAGGCCTGCGTTTAAAGTTTGGAATTAGTTTTCCAAAAACAATCTGACCTACAACAATAGCTTCTATAGCTGATAGAAGCCCTGCTTTGTAGTGTTATAACAAAGTATTTAGCTAAATAATGTAAACTTTAGTGATTGCTGAAGGATTAAAATCCATCAGATATAACGATCCAGTGATAAATGGCTAATAGTTCCTTTTCAGAGCTAATAAATCTCTTCAACTTCATACATGTGCATCATAAATATGATCACATGGAAAGTTCAGGAAAAACAGGTAAAATAAAAAGTGAAATCAGATAAAAATTTAATGTCTGCTCTGGATATGGAGGGAGATGAGCTTTCCTATTTCATGAAGCTAGTATTTTGGTGATTATGGTACTTTGCAGTTTTATATAAAGCTGCTATTTTCTTTCTTTTTTAAAATAATATTTGTTGTTTTTGTCTGATTGTAAAAGTAGTGTATGTTTACCTTGGAAAATGTAGAGAAGCATAAAGAGTAAAAAATAAAATCGCATAACTAGTGATAGACACTGTTAACATTTTTGCTTCTATCCATCCAGTCGGAATTTTTCCTCTGAAAATTTTTTTTCTTTTTTTTACAAAACTGGAATGATGCTGTACTTATTATTTGTAACCTGCTTTTTCCCCTCGACAATTTACTGTGACCATTTCCTCACGTTATTAACTTCTCTACTAGAACATGATTTTTTTTTACTACTGGCTTAATGTTCCATTACAGAGAAGTATTGTACTTGATTTAACAGCTAATGGTGGCAGAACGAGCCAGGGGGTGCAGCAGTTAAAGTGCTCGGCTGCCGACCAAAAGATCAGTGGTTCAAACCCACCAGCCGCTCCATGGGAGAAGATGTGGCAGTCTGCTTCCGTAAAGATTCACAGCCTTGGAAACCCTATGGGGCAGTTCTCAGTCCTATAGGGTTGCAATGACTCAGAATCTCTCGACAGCAGTTGGTGGGTAGTATTGGCAAATTGTTTGATATCATAATGCTGCAATGAACAACTTTATATGTAAATTTTTATGCATATCTGATTATTTTCTTAGGATAAATTCCTAGAAGGGCAATTGCTGGGTCAAAGGGAAAGTATTTTTTAAGGCCTCTGGTACTTGTTAGTGAATTGTTCTCCAAAAAAGAACTAGTTAACATCCCTTCTAGCAGAGTATGACAGTGTTCATTTCTCCATATCCTAAGAAAATACTGTTACTATGGCTACATTACTAGTAGTAGTACTTCTATTTATTTTTAATAAGTAATATGCTCACATAGTTAGAATCCAAAAGGTGCAAGAGTATACAGTGAAGTCTACTTCCCCTGCCCCCTAGCCACCTAGTTTCCCATCCCCAGAAGCTACCACTGGTAAATGTATCCTTCCAGAGAGATTTTGTGCATGTACAAATAAGTATACTCTTCCCATGAATGTACACTCTTTTTACATTAATAACTTTCTAAACACACTGTTTTGCACCATGCTTTTTTCACTGAACAATAATCTTGAAGATTATTCCACGTCAGTACATAAAGAGCTTCCTCGTTCTTTTTTATGGCTGCGTGGTATTTCATTATACAGATATATTGTAATTTATTTAGTCAGTGTCTTGTTGATTAGCATTTAGGTTGTTTCCCATCTTTTGCTATTTGAAACCATTCTGTGATGAGAAACTTGGCACATATGTCATTTTGCACATATCTGCAGGATAAATAATTATATTGTAAAATAAATTCCTGGAAGAAGAATTGCTAAGTCGATCAATATATATTTATACTTTTGGTATAGATTGCTAAATTGCCCTCCTTAATTATAGGACCAATTTACATTCCCCCCTTTTACCAACTCAGTGGGCTCTCAGTTTTATTTATTTATTTATTTATTTAGCCAATCTGATAGGTAAAAAATGGTTTATCAATACAGTTTTAATTTGCATTTAGCTGATTATGAATGAGCTTGAGCGCTTTTCCACATATTTAAGAGCCATCTGTACTTCCCGTAAGAACTGTCTGTTCATATCATTTGCTTATTTTCCTGCTGGATTGTTGGTTGTCGTCTTACTGATTTATAGGGACTCTTGTGAAAAAGTAAAGAAATAAGCCCTCTGCCTGTGATGAGAGTTGTAATTATTTTTTCCAGTTCATTATTTGTCTTTTGATATTGCTTTTACTGGTGTTTCCTGTGAAGAAATTTGTAACTTTATGTGATCAAATTTATTAACCTTTTTTCTTATGACGTCTGGGTTTTGTGTCATGGTTAGAAAGAAGTTCCTCTTTCCAACAGTACTTTAGATTCTTCCTTTCATTTCTTCTAGTGCTCTTATAGTTTCATTGTTTACATTAAGATTTTGATCCCTTTGGAGTTTATCCTAAGGAAGGGTTTACTGTATAGAGAGCTAACTTTATTTTTTCTCAATGGCTACTTACTAGTCCCAATACTTTCATTAAATATTCCCCATCTTTTCTCCAGTGATGCAACTTTTATGGTTATGATTAATCCTTGCCAGTTTGATAGTTGAAAAAAAAGTATCCCTTTTGTGCTGTAATTTTCATTTATTCGACTATCCGTGTATTAATTAACCATTTGTTTTCCATACATTGATTAACTGTGTTTCTTGTGTTGTGAATTCCTATTTGTGCCACTTGTCCTTTGTTATATGCAGGATTATGCTTGCAGGTATTTTCCTCAGTTAATTTCATTTACCTTCAGTATCATTTGTGGCATTCTGATGCTTTATCTTCAAAGTGAATATTTATTTCCTCACAACTATGCTGTAGAGTAGTTAGAAATGAAGCTGAAGCAGCTGAAGCACAAAGAAGCTCAGTAACTTTCCCGATTTCATACAGACTTTAGTAATAGAACCCCTATTACCTGAAAAAGTACTTTATACCTTTAACCCGTCCATTGTTTTGCAGGGAGTATCGCATTCAAGGCCTAACACCGAGGCCATCTCACTGTGTTATGCCAATCGCTCTGCAGCCCTCTTCCACCTGGGCCAGTATGAGGTGAGTACTGGGGTGCCTGGTATTATTAGAGAAAATCTGTAGAGGGTTCACTTGAGGACCAGGCCAGGACTAGGCCTTCATCCCTGCTTCCACATTAGAACACTAAACTCAGCCATACTGCAGGTGGTTGGATTGGAAGTACATTGATACCCACCCAAACTGTCTTTCTCCTGATTCATTTTACCTGTCACAGGTGATTATTTGGGGTTGTGTTGGTTGACAAGACAGATTTATGGTACCTTCCCCAGAGCCGTGAACTATGTCCACTAGGTCAGCAATTCTCAGTGTCGAGATCAGTTGTAAGATATGTTGCTAATAATAGTTCAGGTTCCAAGTGTTTGCAAACTATTTACTTGGTTTTTCTTTTCAACAAGTAGATCATGTTTAAGATTATCCCTGTAATAATATAGCTCACCCTCAATATGCTTTTTGAGTGGGAAAGTAAAAGGTGCACTGAAATGCCTCTATATGCCCATGAGGGGTAGACTTTGAGTGACTTTCTTCTCGTCCCCTAATTGTGGAGTTGTTTAAACTAGGAAGTGACTACAATCAGATTTATGTTTTAGGAAGGTAACTCTGAGGCATCTTAGATTTGTAATAGAGTGCTTAAAAGATAAGCCCTAAAATATTCTGTTACATCCATTTTGGAATTCCACAGAAATTCAAATTATTCCATAGATTTAAGAACTATTTTGAATGGCACAAGTTCACACTTACTGTCCCTAGGACTCAAAGAGAAGAGCAAGAATCTAACTCTAGACCCTAAGCAAGAAAGTCCTGGACTACTGAGGAGAATGATTGGAAGAACTTATAAAACATTTAGCCCTTTATAGCTTCCCTATATTAGTTGTTTCTGTTTGCCTTCTTATAATAATGATTACCACTTAACTGAGTACTATGTTCCCAGCACTCTGTTCAGCACTTTGGATATATAATCTTATTTTATCCTTAAAATAACCCTGTAAGGTAATATTATCCCTATTTTTCAGGTGAGGAAACCAAGACACTGAGAAATTGAGTCACTTGCTCAAGGTCATACAGCTAATAAGAGGCAGAATCAGTATTTCAGTGTTTGACTTCAAAGTCTGCTGTCTTAATCACCATACTATAATTCTTCTATCTGTAAGACTTTTGTCCTTAAAACAGAAATTTTTAGTAAGACAAACATCATTTCCTCAACAAGTATTATTAATCACTCAATTAAAAGATCACAGGTGTAGAACATGATTTAAAGAAATAAGAAAGAAAGAAATAGTTGCTCCATTTATAATAATCTTTTACTTTCCTGTAGATGTTTTAAAAGATTTTCAGTAGACATTGAAGAGTAAGGACCAAGGGTCATTTGGGGGTTTCCTTTCTCTTTTCAGACGTGTCTTGAAGACATTATCAGAGCCCAGAGTCATGGGTATCCAGAAAGATTGCAACCCAAGATGATGTTGCGTAAGGCAGAGTGTCTGGTGACTCTGGGCAGGCTACAGGAAGCCAGCCAGACCATCAGTGATCTTGAAGGTATCTTCGCTGCCAGACCAACACTAGCAGCTTCCCACTTTCAGGTTCTGCAGAGAAACCTTCATCATCTGAAAACAAAAGTACAAGAAAAGGAGAATATCTCAGAAACCTTCCCAGCAGCTCCAACCAAAGCGTTCAAGGATATGGACCTAATGGAAGAGAGTGAACAAATTCCCAGTGCATCATCATCTGTCAGCTTATGTACAGACCCTTTAAAAGGCCGCTATCTGATTGCCACAAAAGATATTCTCCCAGGAGAGATCCTGGTGAAGGAGGACGCTTTTGTGAGTGTCCTTAACCCAGGAGAAATGCCACAGCTACACCATGGCCTCGAGAGCAAGTGGGACACCAGAGTTACCAATGGGGACCTCCACTGTCACCGATGTTTGAAGCACACTTTGGCCACGGTGCCCTGTGATCAGTGCAGCTATGCCAAGTACTGCAGCCAAGAGTGCATGCAGCAGGCCTGGGAGCTCTACCACAGTGTAGAGTGTCCCCAAGGGGGTCTGCTTCTCACACTGGGTGTCTTTTGTCACATTGCCCTGAGAGCGACACTTTTAGCTAGATTTGAAGATAGTGGTAAAGTCATAAGGAAGCTTTGTGGTGAGATTAGTAACAAGGACATCTGTTTACCTGAAAGTGAGAATATGCTCAAAACACTCAGTTGCAACCTGGGGGAGAATGAGGAAAATGGTAAAATTGTTGAGACCCCAATTCCTGGATGTGATATTAATGGAAAATATGAAAATAATTATAATGCTGTCTTCAATCTTTTGCCCCATACTGAAAACCATAGCCCAGAGCACAAATTCCTCTGTGCTCTGAGTGTTGCTGCACTGTGCAGGCAGCTAGAAGCAGCCAGTTTTTGGGCCCTCAAACCAGATCTGAAGTCCTCTAAGCCAAAAGCAGCAGTGACTCCTGCATTGTCTCCAGAGTTGAACATTTGGGGAGTGGTGATGTTGAGACACGTGTTACAGCTGCAGTGTAATGCCCAGGCAATAACTACCATACAACAGACAGGTAAGAGGGAAACTTGTTTTTCTGCCTTACAATATTGTTCTAGATGTAGCTGATGTTTGGGGAGAAAGAACTATACAGGAAAACAGTAGTGGTCAAACAGATCAGTGGGCTAATGGGAAAACACAGCTGCCTTGTATTATCATTATTGTGCCATTGAGAAGCTAAGTGACCTACAGAAATTATTGATCCCACTCTGCCTCAGTTTTCTCATCTGTGCAATGGGTAGTTTAATCCTACCTAACTTTACAGAGTTGTGAGGATGATATATTTATAAAACTGTTTTAGAAAATTAAAAGCATTATTGCTGAGATTTTTTTTTTTCTTGTGGCAGAAGACTGACTCAAATAAACAGTAATAGCAGGTTTATTATAAGGGTGTATACACAGGATTTCAGAGAAAGCTGAAAAGTTCTCTCCTTAGGAAAGGCAGAAATAATTATCAAACCAGACTGCAGAAAGAGCAGGGGCTGTAGTTGTGTGAGGTATCAGAATCTTAACTCACTCATGTGATTCAACTACTCTCTAAATCTTCTATTTTCAATTGGCAGATTTTTCCTATTCTTCAGTTTTAAATTTCCAAGAGAGGAATCTGGCCCAGCACATCTTTTCACACCATACTACACCATAAGTTGCTGGCCAGCCTGTGTAGGGGCTGTCCTTTGGTCAGGTGGCCAGCCCACTCCACTTAGGGGCCACCTCTAGACCAGACCAGCCTAGGCCTGCTTTCCTGAACCCGGCTCTGTAGATAAAGCTCTTTAAGTTAGATGGGGAGGTTGGATATGCCCAGCTTCACGCCTGACATCTCAGCACAGTGCTGACAACAGGTACAACTATTATTAGGGGAAAATGGTGTTTCTAGTATTAATAATGCATGATCTCCATTTTAGCAAAAAATGTCTTTCAATCCAACCAGTTCATTATATTTTTCTTAATTTTCTAGTTAACTCTGTTAGGGGGAAGGGGACTACATGTTAGCTTAACTTAGGATTTTTAGGCATATCAATGTTAAACGTGGCTTCACTAAACAATGCGTACATGACTCTTTCCACATTACAAAAAAATCAAACCAAACCCATTGCCATCGAGCCAGTTCTGACTCACAGTGACCCTATAGGACAGAGTGAAACTGCCCATGGAGTTTCCAAGGCTGTAATCTTTATAGAAGCAGACTGCTACATCTTTCTCCCATGGAGCGGCAGGTGCGTTCGAACTGCCAACCTTTCGGTTAGCAGCTGAGCACTTAACCACCGTGCCATCAGGGTTCCTTTTTCACATTAGGTAATCTAGAATTCTGTTAACCATTTTTGTGTATTTTTATCTTTAATTTTAATTCAGCTGCCAAGTTACATGGTATGTAAATATCTAACTAGAGGTGTTTTAGGTCAGGACTCTCTTCCCCATCACGAAGAATATGGAACATCCAAAAATAGCACTGGCCTCTTCCCATGATATTGTCAGACCACACTGCAAGCTAGCCTCTGCTTTCTTCTCTGTCTTCTTTTGCTTTTTTGAGCCATTGCTATCTTCCAAAATACATCTATTGAGTGCTTTTCTAGAACTTTATTTTCCCTCAGGTACACTCACTTGCATTTAAAAAGATTTTTTTTTTTCATTTTGTTTTTCTGAATATAAAAATATAAATATGGGGCTTCCAGATTACAATGGCAGAAGTTACCAACTTTTGATTTTATTATCTGTCTTGCCTTTGAAATACTTAATAGAACAACACCAAAAAGATACAAATGTCAGTGGCTCTGGAAACTGTTTTCCGGGTAAGCAATAACAGTGATGACTGACTAAAGCACGGTGGAATCCCTGGGACAGAAGACAGAGCCATGTGGGCAAAAGAAGTTGTTTCCCATCTGCTCTCTTATGTTGGTCTTCCCATCACAGACTTGCGTAGCCTAAACGCTTTTTGCTCCATGTGCATGAAATTTTATTATGCTTGATTTGTTTATTTGCATAGCGAATTTTGGGTAAAATTTTTCACAAGTTGTTAAGAGTGAATTTTTAGATAGTGAGGGCAGATATATTCTGTGGTTAGTAGGGACCAGAAGAATAGATGTATAGCACAATACTGGCCACGTGGGTATGGAAAGGGGATTGGAGACTCTGGCTTTATCTATAAGGTTCTAATATTGTTATGCATAATGTATTCTTTTTTATGTGATGTTTTTCAAATATAGACATAGAAAACACTAGAAGCAAAAGTACCAAAATCTTAGCAGTGATTAATTCTGAAAGTGGAAATATGAGTTACTGCTACTTTTTCATCTTTGAACTCTGTTTTGTTTTAATTAAAAACACTTATTCACACAGTGGTAACATCATACTGGTAAATTTTAAAATGGCTTGTATTCCTTTCCCATCGTTCTAGAGAAAAAACGTTTTTAAAAAACTGTTCACAAATCAAAAGAGAGAAAGTTGATAGAAATGAGTCTATAATAGTAGATTTATATGGGCTAAGTTATTAAGCAAGTCTTTCAGAATAGGTCAAAAAAGCAAAATCCAATTATATTCTGCTTACAAGAGTGGCATCTGTAACAGAATAACCCAGAAAATGTTGGGCAAGACATATCAGGTAATCATAAGCAAATCGGGGTACTAGTATTAATATGAAACAGTAGAATCCAAGGTAAGATATTTAGTAGAACAAAGAAGGCATTTTATTTTTATAAAGAAGACTCTCCACACTGAAGTATATCAACTTTAGCTCTCAGAAACATAGAGATTGTGTCTATGAACAAAAATAGTTAAGTATACAAAGAGAAACTGGCAAAAACGCCGTAAAAAACCAAACCACACCTATTGCCGTGGAGTCAATTTTGACTCACAGTGACCCTACAGGACAGAGTAGAATTGCCCCATAGGGTTTCCAAGGAGCAGCTGGTGGATTCAAACTGCCGACCTTTTGGTTAGCAGCTGTAGCTCTTAACCAGTATACCACCAAACCAAAAAAAAAAAAACCCATTGCCATCAAGTCGATTCTAACTCATAGCAACCCTGTAGAACGAGTAGAACTGCCCCATAAGGTTTCCAAGGAGCGGCTGGTGGATTCAAACTGCCAACCTTTTGGTTAGCCAGACGCTTAACCAGGGCTCCAAAAACTCCATAGTTGTGAGAAATTGTAGTATACCGCTTTGACTTTGACTGATCAGATATATTAAAAATAATGATCTAAAAACCAAGATAACATAATAAGCTAGAGACTTAGTGTATATTTAGTGTGTGTATGTATGTATATATAGGGTCACTATGAATCAGAATCGACTCCATGCAGTGGGTTGGGTTGGGTTTTTTTGTGGAGTTTTTGCCTGTTTCTCCTTGTATATTTAACCATTTTTGTTTATAGATACAATCTCTATGTTTCTGAGAGCTAAAGTTGATGATATATTTCAGTGTGGAGTCTCGTTTATACATATATCTCAAAGCTTGTGTCCTATAGATCAGAGGTCAGCAAACTTTTTCTGTACAGGGACAGATAGTAAATATTTTAGGCTTTGCAGGCCATATGGTCTCTTTTGCAGCTACTCAGCTCTGCAGTTGTAGTACGAAAGCAGCCATAAACAATGCGCAAACAAATGAACATGGCAGGGTTCCAATACAACGTTATTTATGGACATTGAAATTTGAATTTCTTATAATTTTTCATAAGTTATAAATATTATTCTTTTGATTTTTTCCAACCACTTGAGAATATGAAAACCATTCTTAGCCTGTGAACTATACAAAAACAGGCATCAGGCAGGATTTGGCCCACTGGCAATAGTTTGCCAACTCCTGAAATAAATAAAAATCTGGCAGATCTAATTAAGAAGTCTATTTGGAAAACAACAAACACAATATTAGGAATGATGAAGAAAATAGAAGCAATGATATAAACTTATTTTTAAATTTTAAGAAAATATTTCATATAATTTTATTTTAGACTATTAAATTTGGAAATATTAAGTACACAACTTCTTAGAAAATTTATAAATTCTCTAAATTACCCCAGAAGGAGGACAATCCTTCAAAAAACCAGTAATTGTGAAAGAAATTGAAAAAGTTATCAAAACATTTCCATAAAAACAAGTTAGATCCATTCTTTTCCATGTGTATTCTTTAAAACTTTCAAGGAACAAATAGTTTCTATGCTAACATAAGCTGTTCCAGAGTGTGGGAAAAACTAGGACTCTTTCCTACTCATTTTACAAAGCCAAGAATAAAAACTATAGACCAGGCTCACTTGTGGATATAGATGTAGAAATCCTGAATAAATCACTGCCATATCACATCCAGCAGTTTATTAAAGTAATAGTGATATATGACAAAGTAGGGTTTCTTCCAGGAATGCAAGAGTATTTTCATTTGGAAGGATATAAAAGAAGGCTTAAATAAATGCAGAGACATGCCGTGTTCTTAGATGGAAAGGCTGAAAACTATTAAAAAAAATAGCATTTCCCCCACATTAACCTAATAAGTTTAATGCAATTTCAAACAAAATCACAATTGGATTTTGCTTGGAACTTGACAGTGATTCTAAAGTTCACCCTGCATAAGTGGGTAAGAATAGCCTTTTTTTTTTTTTTTTTAAAGAGTGCTGAAGGGGCTTGGTATTATCAGATTTCATAGTAGCATTAAAGCTATAATAATTAAAAATAATATGGTACTGCTATGATAGGCCAGAAAAATATTAGAGTCTTTCTTCAAATCATTAAATATGTTTAAAATTAAACCATAAAATATCTAGAAAAAGATGTTGTTAGGGGCTGTTGAATCCATTCCAACTCATAGTGACCCTGTGTACAACAGAATGAAACACTGCCCAGTCCTGCGTCATCCTCACAATCATTGCTGTGTTTGAGCCCATTGTTTCAGTCACTGTCTCAATCCATCTCATTGAGGGTCTTCTTCTTTCGCACTGATCCTCTACTTTACCAAGCATGGTGTCCTTCTCCAGGGACTGATCCCTCCTGATAACATGTCCGAAGTACATGAGACAAAGTTTTGACATCATCATTTCTAAGAAGCAGTCACTTAGATAAGTGAACATTTATATAGTCTTGAGTGGGAGAAGCTTTTTAAAGTATATAATACCAAAATTAGGTAATTAAAAGACAGCTATCTTAACTATCTAAATACCAAATATCAAAAACATCAAGTTGGGTAAAAAAGATATAAGATGCAGGTAAGAAGTCCTTGAAGGAATGAAAACATTGGACTGGGAGGTAGAAGACCTGGGTTCCCATTCTAGATGTGCCAATAACTCTCTGTATGAACTTTGTTGAGTTGCTTAACCTGTGTGGGTATCAGTGTTCTCATCTGAATAAGAGGACTGGATAAGCCTCAAGACCTCTCTCCGGGGTACATTGTTTGCAAAGACGGCCACAACAGTTTCTCCCATTCCTGTATGTTTGCCCCTTTGTAACATGATGTTGCTGTTTCTCCCATCAAGAGGTAAAGTCTGTTACTGCCCCCTGAATCTAGGTTAGCTTGTGGCTTTCTCTGACCAGTGAAATGCAGTAGAAGTAACATTATGTGACTTTTAAGTTTAAGCCTTAAGAGGCATTGTAGCTTCTGCAGTCACCGTCTTGAAATGCTGCTGTGGTCATGTGAATAAGCCTAGGCTAGTCTCCTTGAGGATGAAAGCCCATGTGGAGAGAGAGGCCTAGCCAGCAGCCAGCACCAACCACCAGCCATGTGGGTGAGACCATCTTGGACCATCCAGCCCTAGTTGAGGCGCCAGATGAATGCAGTCAAATGAGTGATCCCAGGCAAGATGAGCAGAAAAACCACTCAACTGAGCCCAGCCAAAATGACTGGTCCACATAATTGTGAGCAAATAAAATAGTTGTTATTGTAACTCTCCCCTTGAAAAAAACCCATAAACAATAATTAAAATGTGAATGACAAAATGAGGGAAAATTTCTACAACTCTTAAAATCAACTCTTAGAAGTAGTTCTAAGTGTTCTAAAACTAGGTTGTGGTGTTGGTTGCACAACTATGAACATCACGCTAAAAATCATTGAACTGTACACTTAAAATGGGTAAATTTTAGGGTATGGAAATATACCTCAGTAAGGCTGTTAAAAATATACATAAACAAGCACTTTATCAAAGTAGTAGTAAAAATGGCCAATAAAATACGTGTCTATTGAGCACAGCACAACCAAAGTAAAAACGAATGTTTGAGCACATATGGATGGGTATAGACACAATTAAAGAGAATGTTGACAAATTGTGATAAGTGTAACTGGTGTCAGTGAAAAATTTGTGTGGAAATTGTCAGATGGGAACCTAACTTGTGTAAACTTTCACCAAAAACTCAAAAAAAAAAGTCTAACCTCTCTTTAGTAATTAAAACAAGATACCATTTTTTGTCTATCAGATTGGCAAAGGCATATGTGTGTTTATAATACGCATTATAGGCTAGGATGTAAAGAAATGACCACGTTTCATACGTGCATTTTCATACACAGCCTTTCTGGAGAGCAGAATAATACACCAGAGAGCTTTCAAATACGCTTATCTTTTAACCCTCTAATTCCACTCCCAGGAATGTATCGTTTTAACCCTGTAGTTCCACTTTCAGGAATTTATCCTAAAGAAATAACTAGGAATTTGTATAATGATCTATAAAGCTGCTCATCACAGTGTCATCATAGTGAAAAATTGAAAACAACCTTAATATCCAACAGTAAGAAATTAGATATGGAGTATCCCTGTAGTGGAAGGCAGTCATTAAAAATGCATGTGACAGAAATGTTCATGAAATATTAAGTGAAAAGAAGGAAAAGTGTACCATGTTGCCAATTAAGTTAAAAATTCCATATATAAGCATAGAAAGAAGACTGCCAATGAAATATACCAAAGTGATGTATCAGACTGATAGGATTACAGATGACTCCTATTTTCTCTGTAATTTTCAGTTTTTAATTTTTTTCTATCATGTATTCCTTTTAATTAGTTTTAATTTAGTTTAATAATAAAAATAATTCAAATGCTATAAACATTTTAAGGTACTTGATACATATTGCAAAATTGCCCTCCAGGAAAGTTGTACCAGTTACACACCCACTAGCAATGTTCACTTTCATTATTTAATTCAATCTAATTTTGTTTTAGTCTGCTTGTGTTTCTAATCTTGTTATATCCCTTTTTATTATTTCTTTGGGGTTCCAACACCTTCCAATTTACTGTTCTCATTGAATTTCATTAGCAGCTGTTTTATTAGTAGCACAGACGAAGGATTAAAGTGTTAAATAGAATAGACTTTGACAAAAACCTATAAAAATGTATGTTATTATCTTTGCATAAACCCTATTTAATCAAAGTTCTTCAGAAACCTCTCTCTGGTGCTTATCTCAAGGGGTGGAACTGCCACTGGTCACATTCTAGACTTTGATATGTGTGGTTCTATCTCAGTGGGAATGGCACCTTTGTGATATATCTGGATTCTTATCCACAAGGCTAAATAAGGTTCTAATATATCTTCAGATCCACTCACTGCCCTTTGCTTTCACTCTTCAGCAACCAGCCAAGGAATCTACCTTTGGTCTGAGTCCTTGACTACTTGACATACATACAGATTTCTCATTTTGCAGAGTATATACCAGAATAAATGTGTTCTGGAAGTATTGTGAATGAATCTTTTTTTTTATTCCTTGTAAAAGGGATATTAGCAAGGTGCACTTTTGGTAAAATAATCAAAAGTGCATCTTGCTAATTTTTTTTTTTAAATACAAAATGTCACATATTGGGGTTTTTTTAATACAAAATGTCACTTTTTTTAATACAAAATGTCACGTTAAATTTGGTTAGTAAGGCACATACATGTTCTCACTTTTTGCTATCTCCACATAGATGACTAATGCAAAATATTGAATAATTTTTAAAAATTGATACTTCGTTTTTTAGAAATAATTAGAGAGATACTCAACTCTAACAAATATACTCACCCCACTCAGTTCCTGGGCCTACTTCTGTTAAGGGGTAATCTATAAATAGCTCACAAAACCAGCATTACTCACTGTATTGTGATCGTTTTTTTCTGGGAAATTTTTTGCAACTGTTCTGATATAGATTGCCAGTTACCAATACTTGGGAATGCCAGTCAACTTTTAATTATGCAGAGACTGATCATTCAGACTACAGATTGTTCGTGCCCTGTACACCTCCTTTCAGCTGCCTCCCTTTTAGCATTTTCACTGCTCATTAGCACATATTCCAGAAGGTAGGCATTGGACAAGGGAGGGAAGAAGAGGTGACACTAGAATCAGTTCAGCATTTAGGAGATGCTCTGATGAAGGATTTTAATACAATTTGTAGAATTGTTGACTAAAATTGAGTCATTTGGATTCTTTGTGAATTTTATTTGCTTGTTCTTTTCTTGTCTTCCATAGCAACAGATAATAGGATTGTCTGCAGAGACAATATTATTGCTGTATTTATTATTTTCCTTTATAGAACACCTTCACATCTGTACCTAGGCTACTTATTTCTTTAGTGAGTGGTGTATTGGATTCCTGGCATATATACAGTGGTATGACAATTACCTGACACAGGAAATTAGTTGTGCTGTATAAATGATTTTGCTAGACAACTGAAGGCTTCCCTTTAAGTACCAATACCTTACATATTTCAACCAGTCTTGTTGGAAACAACCATTTCGTCATTTTTCAACTGAGACGACTAAACATAATTGAAGCCTTCCTGGGTGCCAAGGTTATCTATACAATATACAGTCCTGGGAATCGTATGGCTGTTACAAAAGCCCACGTACATATGCTGTCAGTCTGGGAACCTCCAGTTAAGCGAAATGTTACAATTGAGGTAAAACTTAAGTGGTACTAGTGTTTTCGTTTGTCCTCAGCCTGTTATTCTTGTATAGATTTTCTTCCTCTTTCTCCACTCTTGCCATTATCAGGAAACCTGCCTCTTATACATGCTCCTCTCCTTATTCTCTGCTCCTGGACTGTTGTGGCCTGAAAAACTGAATAACCAAGCTACTGTGTCTAAAGTAAGAACAAACAGGCCCGCCTGAGAGTACAGAGAACTCACATATGAGTAAAAGTGCATGAGCTTTGGTGCAGAGAAAACCTCGCTACTTAGAGGCATTTTTATTCCTTCCTTCGTAATTTCCAGTCATGTAGTTAAGTTTGGGGCCCTGGTGGTACAGTGGTTAAGAGCTCAGCTGCTAACCAAGAGGTCGGCAGTTTGAATCCACCAGCTGCTCGTTGGAAACTCAATGGGGCAGTTCTCCTCTGTCCTGTTGGGTTGCTATGAGTTGGAATCAACTCAACAGCAATGGGTTTTGGGGTTGGTGGTTAAGTTGCTGGTTAATTGTGTCTCAAAAGAGAGATTGCTTGGTTCGTGAGACTGTCTTGAACAGAGCTGGTGCAGAGAGTTCTTTTCAGTGAAAACTACTACTGATTGATACCCCAGAGAGGTGGGACGAAGGGCAGAATTCACCAGGTGAGCATAAAGAGTATTGATTTTTTTTAAAGACCAGTTGAACCAAAGTACTTGGACCATGAAAGTCTTTGGGAAATAATCTCAACAGGTACTTCATTTCTGTGTCCTGAGGAACGTTATGAAACTGGCTGGAAAGCGCCCTACTGATAATTCCTTTTTTATTATTTTGTATAAATTCTAATCTTTGGATTTTTTGTGGTATTGAAACACAAGGGTGAGGTTCCAGGATCTGAGTGGACTTTTCATGTGTTCATTCACTTTGCTTCCTGGGGACCAGAGTTTGCTGTGAGTCATGTTCCATCTGATTTATATTGGATCCAGCTGTGGAGCTATGACTCAGATGGGCTTCAGGCCCAGTTTCCCAGCTCATCTTCTGAGAAATGGATGGTGAGGCCAGGACTAATGTCCTGACACATTTTCCCTTTTCTTCTTGCACTTTCAGGATCTAAAGAGAGCATCATTACCGACAGCAGGCAAGTACGACTTGCCACAGGCATCTTCCCTGTCGTCAGCCTCCTGAACCATTCCTGCAGCCCCAACACCAGTGTGTCCTTCATTAGCACTGTCGCTACCATTCGGGCTTCGCAGCAGATTGGAAAAGGGCAGGAGATTCTCCACTGCTATGGTGAGCCATCCTTCCTCCTTCCTGTCCGGCCTTTTCCAGCAGAAAAGGACAGGGTCGAAAAATACGAGCAAGCTGCTGTGCAGGTGCCCATTGTTTGTCTCCTGGAAGAGGCAGGGCATTCTCGGGTGGAAAAAAAAAAAAAGGGACATCCTTACTAGGCACTTTGTGCCAACTTTTGTGCCTAGCTATCATGTGTCTCACTGCTTAGTTCCTGTTAAACTCACTGTTCTGAAAATAGGCTAGAAACAACTTCTTGATTTTTTTTTTTCCTATCCCAGCAACTAGGAAGTTTATTTCTCTATCTAGTTCCACAAAGGAGTCTGTGGCTGGTGTAAGCATTTAATGTGCTCAGCTGCTAACTGAAAGGTTGGAGGTTGGAGTCCACCCAGAGGTACCTTGGAAAAAAGGCCTGGCAATCTACTTCTGAAAAGTCAGCCACTGAAAACCCTATGGAGCACAGCTGTACTCTGACACACACATGGGGTCTCCATGAGTCAGAGCTCACTCTACATCACCTGTTTTGGATTCCACAAATGTTTGGATGAAGGGTACCCATCACATGATGAATAATTGACCAGACCCTCTGCTAACCTGTTTTTTTTTTTTCTAAGTATTGCTTGACTGTCTCTTGCTTTACACCTTGGCTGAGGGTCTCTCTGCAGGGCCTCACGAGAGCCGGATGGGTGTTGCCGAAAGGCAGCAGAAGCTGAGATCTCAGTATTTCTTTGAATGCAACTGCCCAGCATGTCATGAGGAGCCCAGAGCCACTGCAGGGCCCAGGTGGGAAGCATTCTGTTGTCACAGTTGCAGAGCTGTCATGCAGGTAAATCTCTCTGCTCCCGTCTCTTCCTGGAGGTCAGTTAGCCAGACCAAAGGTCATAAATCTTTAGGAGGAGTCTGTCGGGGCTTATAGGTACTGAGAGCATTAATATCCCCTCTCTTTCAGCCTGTCTTCCCACACATTGATTATCCCTCCAAAGGAACAGCAGAGAAAGGTTGGATTCAGTCATCTTTCACTTGCAAATGACAGATAAATCCCAGCTAAACTAGTTTAAGGGGAGGGGGAGACTGGGAATTGATTTGCTCAAGTAAGTCACTAAAAAGTCCCAGGGCAGGGCTACTTCAGATACCACCTAATCCAGCAGCTCAGATGATGTCACTAGCACCCAGTTTTTCTCTCTACCTCTCTCAGCTCCATTTTCTCTGTGTTAACCCCATCCTCAGACAGACTTCCCTTTTGAGCAAGATGGCTGCCAGCAGCTCCAGCCTCATATCCTTCCTGTCCAGGAGGATAAAAACATATGCCACCCTTGCAACAGTCTGGGCAAAAATTGTACTGTGTTTCATTGACCCTATGACTCTAGCTGGAAGAAAACCACATAGTTTAACCACATAGTTTTCTTCCAGCCATTTGGGGCAGAGGAACGGGCTTGATCTGAGACACATGTCCATGCCCTCAGCTATAGGGCACTGACTGTGGGAGGGTGGAAGAGGACTCTCAAGAGAAATCAATTGCTATTGCCGAATGAGGGCATAGATACCAGCATCTAAAACCAGAAAATGCCCACCTTAGAGATTTTCTCCTCTACAAGAGGGTACAGTTTTCTTGTTAGGGAAACCCTACGTGGAATTAGAGCTAGTTGTGTAGGAAAGCTCAAGTTGCAATCTTATGGTCAAATGTAGGAAGACCTCACCCAGCACCTTTTTCTATTGGTTTTCTTATGGTTTTTTCATAACCACTAGAAATATGTCTGTCATTCAAAGTCCAGGCCCCAAAGAGAGATAAGAGAGGGGCCATAGAGATGGAAAGAAATTGTGGAGTGTACCAGTTTGGTCCCAAAAATTAAATCTCAGAGTAGGATTGGGCTATTGCTTTCATTGGGACTGTTGCTGTCAAACCAGATTCAGTCAGGCTTTAGTCGTGATGTATTGCAGGAGTCTCTTTGCCCCATAGGGTCAGAAACTGTAGCACAGTCCTATAATGTAAGTACATGCACTGTTGATAACCAACTTGGGTATAGGAATAAAGATAAAACTGACTTCCACAGGGAGATGATGTCCTGAGCTGTGGCAACAGATCTTGTATGGAATCAGTCAGCAGGGGTCACCTAGTCTCTCGGTTACAGGACCTTCAGCAGCAGGTTGGGATGGCCCAGAAGCTTCTCAGAAATGGTAAATTAGGTGAGACTGGCTCCCTGCTTTGGTCTTCCAGCCCCTTCCCATTTATTCATTCTGAGATCACCTTGGACTCAAGGATACCAGTAAAGATTGGAGAGTTGAATTTAATTATCCCCATGCCAGCCACAAGATGGCTGTGTAGTCCAATGAGACACAAACCAACTCAGTTAGTGTGGTGTCTTGAAAAAGGGCCAGTGATTTAAGCTGTTGTTCTCTTATGCATCAAATAGCTAAGTTCAAGTACCCCATCATGGCTAAAGGGTTATCTGTGACAGGTGTGTGCTTATTGTAGTTCCACAAGTTCAGTGTCATTTATTTTCATCCCGGGTCTAATGACCTAACTTCCTAGAAAGGTTGACGTGCCCTCATCAGAGCCAGCGCAGAGAGCAGTGGGGCATGTGCCCATGGATAGGAGTATCCTGTTTTTTTTTTAAAGTGAGTTATGGAACTCCTCATTACCCTTGAAAACTCTGCCTTCGAGCTTGTTGTCATGGAAGTTTATTTACTTTATGAAAGTTGACCTTTAGCTGAGATTTCAGAGTCAAGAGAAATAACAACCCTAAGTAGCAGTGTAGAGCTAGCTGTGTTAGAAAGCTGAAGTTGCAAACCCACGGTCAAATGTGGGGAGACTTCATCTAGCACCGTTTTCTGTTGAAAAAGAACACAGAGAAGATGTAAGAGAACAACAGCTTTACTGGAACAAAGAAATGCAACATTGTGGATTGGTGACAATCCAGGGAGGCCAAGGGGGATTTCTACATTCAGCCCAGCTGATGCAGAATGTGAGACCTTGGTCCTTATTTATAGGACGTATTTGTGTCTGTAGTGAGACCATTTTCCTTTCAATTGGTAGAGCAAGCCATTCAACAGTTGTTGGGATGCCAGCGTGATGCTGAGAGTTTCTTGTCAGCAGAACACACCATGGTAGGAGAAATAGAGGATGACCTGGCCCAGGCCTATGCTGCCTTAGGTATGGCGTGTGTTTTCATTTTCCCTGTGAGGTACAAGTCTGCTTTGTGTGGTTTGCCATGACTCTGGCCTTGGCTGGTTGGTTATCTTAGTCTTTAAACTGAGGCTGCTCTCTCTTCTGTTCAGCTTCCTCACCCTGAAAATGTTCGGCCACGTAGAGTATGAATTTTTTTCTGAAACAGGATTTTTCTTTCCTCTCAGGGGACTGGCAGAAGTCAGCTACCCACCTACAGAAGAGTCTCCGAGTGGTTGAGGTTCGCCATGGGCCATCCAGTATTGAAATGGGCCATGAGCTCTTCAAGTTAGCCCAAATCTTTTTCAATGGGTAAGTCTCTCTCGTTTCCTAGCACTTCACCAGGACAGTATGTACCCTTATGTCTTTTATTAGGCTCTTCATGTACTACTCTTTTTCTTAGGCTTTTAAGCATATTGAAACTTTATTTCCCCTTTAGGAGAGATCTTTGCCTTCTGTGTTGCTGACAGAGTTCAAGCTTTAGAATTTCTTCTTGAGAGTTATGGGGAAAGCTCTTAGATCTAAAGTAAGTTTCCCAGGGAGAACTTAACATGCAGCCCTCCCCACCCACCATGGTAGCATTCCTGCTCATTCCTCTCTGGTTAATCATTCCTCTCTCGGCCCTCTCTTTCTCAGCCCCTTCAACTCCAGAGTTTCTGTCTTCCCTCTAGTCTGCATCTTATTCCTTTTAAGGCAGTGGTTTTCAACCAGGGGTAACTTTGAACCCCATGGGGACATTTGGCAATGTCTAGAGACATTTCAGAGCCCTGGTGGTACAGTGGTTTTGGTTGGCTCGGCTGCCAGCCAAAAGGTCAGCAGTTCGAATCCACCAGCCGCTTCTTGGAAACCCTCTGGGGCAGTTCTGCTTTGTCATATAGGGTCACTATGAGTCAGAATCAACTCGACGGCAATGGGTTTGGAGACATTTTGGTTGTCATGACTATAGGAGGAGGGTGCTACTGTCATCTAGTGGGTAGAGACCAGGGATGCTGCTAAAAATCTACAATGCACAGGACAGCCCCCACAACAAAGAATTATTTGACCCAAAATATCAGTAGTATCAAGGTTGAAAAACCCTGCTTTAAAGCTTAAAAGGAACAGTAGGGTTGATGAGCAGCTGCCTCATCCACTTTTGCTACTAAGATCATTGTCCTAATTGCAGTTTTTCTGAATGGAATACCCCCCGCCTTGATAAAGCTGCCATTGGTGTACATTGTGTGGGACAAAATGTTTGAAGCTTGATGCTAATTTATGAATGGTGAGTGGATCTGATACCTGAAACACAGAGGCAGCCTGCTTGGCCAGAGAGAGAAAAAAGGACTGCAGAGCTAGGTCAGGGGTAGAGTTGGTTATCCTAAGATGGAAACTCCTTAGTTAACCTTGGTGTAAGTATCAGATTAAAGTGTCGAGATTTCCATTTGTCTAGATCCTGGAATTTTTATACTTTTTTTCATAACTTTTTTCTCAAACTTTGCCTTGTAGTGTATTTGTGAATATGTCTTGTCTACCCTACTAGATTATAAGATCCTTGAGGACAGATGTGATCTTATATGACTTTGTATTCTTTACAGTGGTGAGTAGGGACTCAGTGTTTGCGTGATTAAATGAGTGAGTTCACACCCCTTGCCCCCTTTGGTTCAGGCGTGCAGTACCCGAAGCTCTGAACACAATACAAAAGGCAGAAAAGGTTCTGTCGATTCACTGTGACCCTTGGAGTGACGAGATTGAGGAGCTACGAAAGATGCGATCCTGTTTATTGAACTTGCCGCCCGTCCCTGTGGGGCCTTCAGGGTAGGATTCCGAGGGGACTTTGATGCACAGGGAAGGATCCCGTAGAAGACGAGTTGACGAGGTTCTGTGCTGCTGAGCTGTTGCCGGGAAATACAAGACTTGCTCGAAAGCCTGGTTTATGAGGGGAGGAAGGACTCCGAAAGCACCTCAGTCGGAGAGAGACGTTCACCTATTTTAATGAGTGTTTCTTAAATAGTTAACTGCCCTCCCGTAAAAACTCCCAGTTTCCAGAAAATAGATAAAACCAGTATCTGGAGAGTCCAAAACCTTCAGAGATTTTAGCTGATCTGCAGGCATCTGGGTGTTAGCCTTGGGCTCTGGCTAGATTCCACCTCACTAAATGATGGTAGTCCTTTTTCCTGGAACATTCCTGTGGTTTCTAGTAGTAATGAAATGTTATATACCACTCTAGGGGGGACTTAAACTCCTAGTAGTTGTATTGTAATTGAAAAAATAATTATAAAGCAAGAAGTAAGTGAGGCTCCTTACCCCTAGAGACACACACACTTTCAGTTACGGTGTCTTGCTTCCTTGAATCCTTTGTTAACACTGATGGGTTATAAATTGTGAATAGAGCAATAAATATGAGGCCATAAATATAATATATAAATAAATACAATATAAATACAATAAATGTGCCCCTTATTGTTGGGCAGTCTCTTCCTGGGATAGCCACTCTGTATTTGTTTTCACCAGTCTTCCAGCCCTGATTGTCTGGCTTCCGTTCTATACTCTAGACAGACTCCCTGATCAAACACTCATAAAATCAACCTTGTAGTAATGACTTTACAACACGTGTGCCTCCTTTCTGAGTTCTTCTATTTATTAGCAAGCCTGAAAAGAGATTTTTTTTTTCCTACCAGACCTCCCCAAGCTGGCAAATGAAATGCAAACTGCATTAATACTGAGAAAGGGGGAAGAAAACTTCAGAAGATGCCAAGGATGTGGGCACTGTGCTTATGATTTCAAATTTATGAGACAGCAGGTAGGGATGACAGCTCCCTTCCACCTGGCTGTGTAGTGACTGTCCAGACCCCATCCCAGTCTGAGGGCAGTGGTGGTTCAGTGGTAGAATCCTTGCTTTCTATACAGGAGACTTGGATTCAGTCCCTGGCCAGTGCACCTCAAGCACAGCCGCCAGCCATCTGTCCGTGGAAGCTTGTGTGCCGCTATGATGTTGAACAGGTTTTAGCAGAGCTGCCAGACTAAGACAGACTAGGAAAAAAGGCCGGGTGATCTGCTTCCAAAAATCAGCCAGTCAAAGCCCTATAGATCACAGCAGTCCCATCTTGTTGTGCATGGGGTCACCATGATTTGGAGGCCAACTCAGTGGCAACTAACAACAACAGTATCTATCAAACCCCATCCCAGGTAGAGGCTAGGAGACTCTCTGGGTCAGAGCCCTGATTGCTGTATCACTACTGTTGACCAAGTAGTTCAGATGAACCAGTGGGAAAGAATGCCAGGTCTATTCTGCTTTGAGAGCATGCCAACCCTGGCCATGCCCAAGAAGTGCCAGTGGGTTGCCATGGCTTTATAACCAGCAAATGAGTAGCCCTGATGGTGCTTGGCAGTAGCTTTTCGAGAAGCTGAGTATTTGGAATGTAACTCTCAAACAGTTGTTGAATGAAGGGCAAGATTTCACTTATCCTTTCTACTAACTCACAACAGAGTTTTTTTGGTCTGTTAACTCATTCTGGCAAGGCAGTAGCCAGTGATATTTTTTTGTAGAGCTTACTTTTTCAAGAAAAAAACATTTAGTTCTATGAGCAATTCTGTAGTAATTCTCTTCCAAACAATTGGCATGTCTCATGGTTCCCAAAAAAGGCTCTGTGGTACTTTGTAAAATAGGTATACTTCCTTAAAAAGAACGTCTTTAGAATGTTTACATATCAGGTCCTCCTTTTTTCATGCTTAAGAACTTTCTTTAAATGCTCTAAAATATAATTATTTCCAAAAGTTAAAGATTACCTCTCTTATCTGTCCATGTGTTATCCTATGACTGGGAGATAACCTGTGCTTGCGTTAAAACCTAAAGTCTAGTTTATTTAAGAGCGTGCTCCAGTGATCATAGCAGAAGAGATACCTTCCTGGGGTGGGGAGGTAGTGGTCCTGGTACATGAACACCCGCTAGAGCAGAGAAGCAGTCCCTGCATTACACAATGCAGAAAACCAAAAGTTCTTGTAAACATGACTTTCTGCAGAGTTTACACAGAACCAGGCTATAAGACCAGCAAATTCCTAAATTGCAGCATGGCTTCATATTGAACTTCTCATAGCTTGGTTTCGAAAAGAGGGAAGAACAAGGTAACAAAAGTTAAAGCTAAATCTCTTTTATTGCAAAGTATACACTGAAACAGTATAGGGGCAGCCTTCATGTAATGTATAACCTGCCGTCCCCCTGGGCTTTCTTCTCCCAGGGTATTTGAACATTAAACTGGAGCATTAGGTGCCCCTGGGGTCCAGAATTTTGCCTATGAAGAGAAGGGCCCCTGTGTCTGTGTCCCTCAGTACAAAGATGAAAGGTTGGTTAAGATGATAGTCCAGGGGAAAGGTGAGGCGGGCAGGCTGGCCCCCAGGGCTGGGGGCGGTTCCTGCCCCATCCTCATTCCACTCGAAGCCAGCCCGGTGTTCCACTTGAGTAAGTTTGATGGGCTTGCCTGTGATCTTGCTAAAGTCTGGTGAATCAAACAAGGACTGGAGCGCTGCAGAGATTGAGAGAGATTTCCATTAAAGCCTTGCCTTATCCTAAACCCCAAGAAAGAATATAATCCCGATTCCCAAGAAGGCTAGCAAGCTGGGAATAAAGCACAGCTTTCAACTTTCTGTGAAGTATATAGAGCTCTGAGCTTCATGGGGGTTAAGTGACTTGCCCAAGAGCACACAGCATTAAGGTTAAGATTAGAAACCGGTCAGACACCTGTTTGAAGAAGCAGTGTTCTTAGCTCCTGCTATAGGACGTATGATCATGGGGTTGGAGAATGAGTGTTCAAAGGAAGGCAGTTCAGTCTTCCCCCTCCAGCACTATTAGAATTAAGGAACCATCCATGGCCTCCCTTCTACAATGTTATGGATTAAATTATGTCCCCTAAAAATGCGTATCAACTTGGCTAGGCCATGATTCCCAGTATTGTGTGGTTGTCCACCAATTTGTGATCTGATGTGATTTTCCTATGTGTTGTAAATCCTACCTCTATGATGTTAATGAGAAAGGATTAGAGGCAGTTATGTTAATGAGGCAGGACTCAATCTACAGGATTAGGTTGTATGTTAAGTCAATCTCTTTTTGAGATACAAGAGAGAATCGAGCAGAGAGGAAGGGGACCTCATACCACCAAGAAAAAAGCCCCGGAAGCAGAGCTCGTCCTTTGGACCCGGGGTCCCTGCACTGAGATGCTGCTAGACCAGGGGAAGATTGATGACAAGGGCCTTTCCCCAAAGCCAACAGAGAGAAAGCCTTCCCCTGGAGCTGGCACCCTTAGTTTGGACTTCTAGCCTCCTAAACTGTGAGAGAATAAATTTCTGTTTGTTAAAGCCATCCACTTGTGTGGTATTTCTGTTATAGCAGCACTAGATTACTAAGACAAACCCCATGGAGCTCTTGAGCTCTGCTTAGTGAGGGGAAGACTCAAAGACTTGTCCTCCTTCCCACCAACAAACGATCTTGCAGACATACTCATCTCCTGCAGGGACTTGGTGACTTCGCCTTCATAACTCAGCTTCAGCTTAGGGATGGTCAGAACTGCTTGGACAGTCTTCAGTTCTCGGTCTATATCATGAACGAACTCAGAGGTGAGGCTCTCTTCTATCATGGTCAAATTCTGGGTTGGTTTCTGGGGCAGGAAGAAGATGATACTCATGCTTCCAGTCAAGGGCAGCTGGGCAATCTGAAACAACAGCAAGGAAGCACATGGGTTAGTCCTTTAGAGCGCCAGGGCCTGGACACACACACAGATGCCTTGTCTCCCGTGGTGGGGCCTTGGGCTCTTGCTTTCCCCTAGACCCTAATCTATTTAAGAATTGCCCCTCTAGGCTATTGCTTTCTGGCAGCCAGTCATCTCCTGCTGTTCCCTCAAAAAGTCTGCTGTTGCTTTTTCCTACCGCAGCCTAATGCCAACTGAAGTTATCTGCTGCAAGAACTATCTCCTGTGGTTCTGAAGAGCTAGAGTTGAAGCGCAGGTCTGTGTTTTCTCCCAAGGTCAGTCTGCCAACGTTTACTAATCGTGTGTTATGTACAGAGCACTGGACTAGAAGTGGGGCATTGGGTACAGAAGCAGCAATAAAATGGGTCCTTGAGCAGAAGTTCTTAACATGAGGTCTATAGAAAGAATGACGTCAGGGGTCCCAAGACCCCCCTGAAAACATACGCGGAAATGTCCATGTGCGCACAGGGCAACTGTCTAGAGAGTTCCAGGAGCTTTTGTCAGATTTTCAAAGAGATCCATGCCCTGACTTAGAATTGAAAGAGTTCAAGTACACATGAAAGACAGAATGCCAGCAATTTGGAGTTTGTGACAGTTTTCCAGAGTTTAGCTTTGAATTCTACAAATAAAAGATCTCTAAAAAAGAAAAAGAAGAGAAGAGGAAAAGGAAAGAAAGAACACCAACATTTGAGTGCCTACTCTTGAGGACCCATTTCACATTACCTTGTTCATCCTTGTAACAGGATCCTTAGCCATTTCAATAACTAGCCCCCCTCCCAATTTAAGAAGAGGAAAGGCTCAGAGAGGTTATTGGCTTGCTCAAAGTCACACAGCAGGTAAAATTTAGATAACTGTCTGATCTCAAAGCTCATTCTATTTCTGCTACACCATTCTGCCTCTCCTTGTCCTCTCCCCCCACCCACCCTGCCCCTACAGACCTTACAGTTGAGGTCAGAATCCAAACCATAGCGTAAAACAGCCTTAGGATCTGACATCATGGGGACTCTCACGGTCCTCTCTTCATCCAGATGGAAATCTGCGAGGGAGGTCTTTCTGGTATCAAACTTGGTTACCCACTGCCCTGGAGTGAAATAAATGGAGTTTCCTGAGCCGCAGAGACCAAAAAGGCAGTGGGACCATGCTGTTGCTGAAAACTGGCTAAAGGAATCTGATTTGGCCCTGACACATCAGGTGGTAGCTCTATCTCAAAATGTGTGGTTTGGGCCACAATATTTCTAGGACCCTGGATGCATTCCACAAGCAAATTCAGAAGGAAATATGTTGTTTTTTTTATTTAACTCTGGATTAGACAAGTTCTGTAACAGCCTGTGAGAAAGATAAACTGGGGTTCACTTTTACAGTGGCATCTCTGGGAGACAGAACCAAAGGATGTCAGAGCTGAAAGGAACCTCAGGGATCATCTTATAACTGAGAGAGCTGAAGCCCAAAGAGGTGAAGTGACTAGCGAGCTGATGACCAAGCTCATTTAGCTTAGTGTGGCCTTCAAAAGACGGGTCTGTAGCTGCTACTTCCAGTCACTGGAAATCAGTGGTTGAAGTAGGAAACCATTTGGCTTTTCTCTAGGAGTTTAGGGGGAGGTTGCCAAAAAACCCCTCCAAGGCCTTATCTGAATGAGACTGTTATGAAACTAGGGCTGTGATCTCTGGGCACATCACCACAGCCTAGAAGAAGAGTGTTGTTAGATAACTAGGAATCATTTCTTGAGCTCCAGCTGTGTCCCAGGCCCAGTCCTAGGGTTATTGTGAAGAGAGAAACAACATAGACAAAGTGCCTATGAAGCAGGTTTTTTGTCCTGACTTTAAAGATGAGAAAATGGGCCCAGAAACATTAATGAAACCTGTGCGGGCTTCCACAGCGAGTAACGGCAGAGGTGGAACCAGAACCTTGTCTGACTCCAAAGCCAGAAATCTAACACAGTGCCCGGCCCCAATAGGACTCGAGTATAAGTTCTCTTTCCCTCTCTGCTATTCTTTGTCCACAAGTCTTTTATACTTTGTAGTCACTTATCAAATATTTGCCAATTTCTTAGACGTGGTGACAAGCGGGTCTCTCTGAGGCAAGCGTGTTTCTCGGTTCCTGCCCTGGCTTTGCCCCCGCATTCATGTCAGGCAAGGTCTTTAACTTCTCCTCTTGCCCAGCCCTCTCTGGTGCCTACCATCCACCCCCAGCCAAAAAGGAAGTGGGACAGCCCTCACCCTTGAAGTAAGCCACACCAAGAAGGAGAATGCTGATTCCATTGGGCATTTCCCTTGTGGAGCTAGCAATCTTCCCTTTCGTCTGGGCCTGCACCCAGTTATTAATCTCCCGGAGGTCCACGTGAGGGTTGCCAGTCAGGAATCGGGGCCTGGTCCCATATGACTTTTCCAGTGGCGAAACAAAGCTCGTTTTTATCCGCAGCTCTGGGAAGAAGGACAGAGGTTGATGCACAAGAGGTAAACCAGCATCCTCTCTGAGAGCGTGCCCGGCTCAGGCTCTGGTTTGACTACTCAACAGACCCTGACTTCCTGTCCAGCCTCTTCCCAGGATTTAATGCCGGACTTCATGCTAGCTTCCCCAGGCACCAAACAGGGAATAACAGATTTCACTCATTGCTGTTTCTCTTCACGTTACTGCCCTCCCCCGCCCCCGTCCACCTCCTCTTTCACTAAGCCCACTTCCTCTTTTTGATCCTCTTTGGGCTCACAGGGCCCCTTCCTGCCCACCAGTGCCAGGCCTGGCCTGAGCATACACAGGCTATTGTTTAGAAAGAAACTGCCAGCGTGGAGCATAAAGCCCCACACTCTTCAGGCAGCCCAGGCTAGAAAGGCAGCTCACTCCTCTCGAACATGATCCGGAAAGCACTGTCGAGGTTCTTCTGTGGGGCCGTGACGGTGGCAAGGAGTTCCTTGTAGGTGCTGTGGATGTTTGCGTTGTTGATTAGGTCGTAGTAGAGAGCCCGGTGGATGGTGGACTCTGTTCGCTGTCCCGCTCCTGCCCAAGAGACAAGGATGTGAGCCTTGATAACTGCCCACCATGGCTCAAATAGCCCTGCTCCTGGGACAGGAGATGCTATATGCTTATTCTTTCTGTCTGTGGAGAGCCTGAGTGGGCTGATATTGGAGACATTCTAGGTAGGCAAGGAATTTGAAGTCACTACTCCATTCTTAAGAATTTTCCTAAAGTAGACTAAAGACTTCAGAGAGAGATGTAAAGGTGAGAGTGAGGGTACAAGTCCCTATATTTCTCCCATCACAGCACTTGCCAGACTCTTGTGGTTACCTGTTTATCTATCTCCCCTGGGAATCCAGCTGTGACCCCAGTGAGGGCAGAGACCATGTCTGCTTGTACATGGTTAAAGCTCCTAGGCCTAGCCCAGCGGCTGGTGCATTGTAGAAGCTCATTTAAGGAATGAATGAATGAATGAATGTTGAAGTCACCGTGTCATTAAGTGGCCCCCAAAGCCACATACCAGCATCAGCAGTGCTCAGCCCCCACCCAGGGGACAAGGAAGTTGAGTGTACACGGCCTCTGAGCGCCCACTCACACAAGTCAGGACCCCACTAGGCCCAGTCTCTCAGTGCCTCTCACCCTTCCGTGAGGCGAAGTGTCTCTAGGGCCCAAAGAGCTATGTACGTGCAGTGGCCCAGTGGGGCTTCTTCATTTCTGTCGCAGCCCTAGGCTTCTGGGGCTTTCTGCATGTGAGAACTCACCCAGTGACAGGGCAGAGAGTGCCGTGGCCACGCTGAGCGGAGACATGAGCACGTTGGCAGCAGGGCTCATGCTGGATCTCACACGGTAAAGGTCATAGCCAAAGTTGGAGATGGCCCCTGCCAGCTTGTTCACGGGGACCTTGAAGAAGGGATCCTCCTCTTCCACTGGTATCCCTGTGGTGTCAGGGGCTGGGGAGCCCTGGCGGGAGACAGGAAGTCCTGGATTTGAGTGCAGGGACCAGTGGAGCTACACAGTTAATAACGCGTCTCATTGCTTCAAGTGGGATTGTCGTCTGGCCTCAGACTGTCCTTCCTAATTACAGTGAGTTTAGCCTAAGGTTAGAATGAATTTGTGTTCCCTGATGGAGCATGAGGTCTCTGCTGGGGAGAGGCAGCCCAGGAGAGAGATTACCTGGCCAGGTGTAAACACTTGTGGCCTGTGAGTCTCCGGCCTGTGACACACCGACGGAGAGGAGCCCACACACACAGGCCACGCCAGGCAACCTTGCTTACTGCTTCCGGGTCTCTGCCTAGATGCCCTCCCTCCATCAAAACCTCCCTGTCTGAACACAGCAGAGTCCCTGACGGAGCAGGAGAAAAGTAGGGTACAGAACTTAATGGTCTGACTGAGACTGGAGGAACCCCGGAAGGCATGGCCCCTGGACTCTCTGTTAGCTCAAAACTAAAACCATTCCTGAAGCTAACTCTTCAGACAAAGATTAGACTGGACTATAAGACATAAAATGATACTCATGAAGAGCACGCTTCTTAGCTCAAGTAGATACATGAGACTAAATGGGCAGCTCCTGTCTAGAGGCAAAGTGAGAAGGCAGAAAGGGACAGGAGCTGGTTGAATGGACACGGAAATCCGGGGTGGAAAGGAGGAGTGTGCTGTCACAGTATAGGGAGAGCAACTAGGGTCACAGAGCAGTATGTGTATAAATGTTTATATGAGAAACTAACTTGAGCTGTAAACTTTCATTTAAAGCACAATTTAAAAATCTCCCTGTCTTTTATGGCCCTGATCAAATATTACCTTCTGCATCAGATTTTCCTGATCACCCCAAACTGAAGGACCTTTTGATTTTCTGACCTTTTTCTCAGAGTCGGCTACCACTTCTTAACCACCTGCCATGTGCTGGCCAGGCTCTGTGCTGGCCCTTTCCATTTGAGTTACTTCATTTCATACTTGTTGATGTGTTTTTCTAATATCCCAAAAGACTGAGTTCCTTGAAGGCAAAAACTGGGGCTTTCTTTTTCCATTCATCCCCAGGACCTGCAGAGAAGGTATTTAATAGATGAATGGGAATGGCCACAATGGCCCTGTAAGGATGGGTATTATTATCCACTTTTAGAGATAAGGAAACCCTGGTGGCGCAGTGGTTAAGAGTTCGGCTGCTAACCGAAAGGTCAGCAGTTGGAATCCACCAGGCGCTCTTTGGAAACCCTCTGGGGCAGTTCTACTCTGTCCTGTAGGGACACTATGAGTCGGAATCGACTAGACAGCAACAGATTTTTATAGATAAGGAAATGGAGACCCAGGTCAAAGCAGCTTGTCTTAAGGTCACAAAGCTAGTGAGAGGTAGAGCCAAAATTCAAACTCAGAACTCAGGACAAAGCCCAGGGCTCCAGCAGCTGTGTCCCAGCTGCCCTGGTCCCTCATGTGACAGTTACCCACCACTGCCACATAGCCTGGACTTCCCTCCAAGTGTCTGACTCTGCCTTCACACCCAGACTGCTCTCTCTCTGGGCAGGGAGGAGGTATGTCCCCCTCTGACATCCTCTCCTGTACCCCGGTCAGTGTCAGATACTGCCCACTCAGTAAGGACCCACAGGAGTGCAGGATAATGAGATAAGGTCTTCACTGAAGGAATAGCCCTGGACTTTTGAAGTCCTCTTGCTTTTCACTGTTGTGGAATTTACTCTTGTCTCCACCATGCTCTCTGAAAGGCAGGGCAAGACATTTTCTCTCAGTTTTGCTGATGGAGACACCAAGGCCTAGATGCAAAGGCCTGGAACCTGGCTGCCGGACTCCCTGTCCTGTCTGCTATGGAGGGTTGGGATTGCTGCAGCCACTCCGCCCCGCCCACTGACCTCCTCCAGACTCCCGCCGGTGTTCTGGGAGCTGCCATGCCCGAGGAAGGCTCCAGTCCAGAGGAGCAGTATGAGGGCCTGCATCCTGGGCCTGCAAGAGAAGCGAGAGGCAGTGGCTACTTCCCTCACCCACCAGCCTGTGCCTGCCACTGGGCCTCCCTGGGCAGGAAGCTGGGATTGCCAGGGTTGGTCACCTTTTCTCCAGCCTCCCCAGCCTGAAAGTGGACCCTCAGTTGATTATCCCTCCCTCCCAGCAGGGTCCTCACCCTCTCTCCACCTGCCTCTTTGCCCACAGTCATATAACAGGCTGGGGCTTTTATCCCTTGTTTGTTGTCAGGGGGCCCCACCCTCCTACCTGAAGCCCCAGAGCAGTGGCAGTCCACTGGTGTGTCTCTGTAGGGAGCATGGCCTAGCACAAATGCATAAGCAGGCTTTTCCCTGGAGGGGCCGAACAGCTCATTTAACAGAATTTTGGGCAGTGTCTAGTAACCCAGGTCTCGTGAATAGATCATAGAAGGCTGAGAATGGAGGCGTCTGGGCCAGCCACTGCTATCCCCAAGAAGTTTCAAACTCTTAAATTCCAGCTACCTGGAACTTGTGGCCTCTTAAGCGAGCACATTCCCTTCTCAGCAATTCTGTTTTAAGAGCTCTTACTCTCATGGTTAGGAGTGCAGGGTGTAGGGCCAGACAGCCTGGGTTCAAATCTCAGTTTGGCCTCTTAACCCTTTTGTGACCTAATTATTTTTTCTTGTTAATTTTTTGTTAATAATATGTGTTTTCAGTAATGGAGGGCATGCTGAATCATTGAGTGTGTCTGAATGTTTGGTAGGTAACGTGGTTTTTGTTTTATGCCTCATTCCACAAATTGTACGTACCCTCGGAGTCCAGAGGTACATATGTGTACCAAATAAAAATTTTCAAAATTCATGTTTTTCCTACCAGAAACTCAATGATTCAGCACTACCTCATACAATACCCTGTAAAAACAGGAATTTGCAGCACATGCCTGTTTTTTCCATTTCAAACTGTTGTATGGGGCCCTACCTGGCAGCAGCATGTAGTATCAAGTGGGACAGTGGCTTCCCAATGAACCCCAGAAATACAAAAAGTAAGTGGTAGCTATTTATACCACAGGTCCTGTTAAAAGCTCTCTAAATCTCAATTTTCTCTCCCATAAAGCAGAGATAAGATAGTACTTACCTATTGTTATGAGAATTAAATTAGATAGTGCCCTAAGAACACTTACCTGTTCCAGAGACAGGTCAGGGTCTCAAATGACCTCTGAGCCAAAATATCCCTCCCTGTAACTTGGATCCTTTGGCCCCATTTCTCCCCTGTGAGCCATATCCCTTCTCCCTACCACCCTCTTCGGAAAATCTCTCTTAAAAGCCCCCAGAACCTTCCTTTCTCCAGGTTAAAAAAAACCTCATTTCTCAGTAAGACAACGTACCTCTTAGCAGTGCCCTCCTTTGCCCAGGCTCTGCTCTGACCACAAGGTAAAATTTTGAAATCTGGACCCAGGGCACCATCGGCTACAGCATCCCTTACCCCTCTGGCCTTGCTGCATTCACCTCATCTATGAGCTTACCCCTGGAGTCAGGATCTGGGGGTGGCAGGGGACAAAGGCAACCAGCGAGGTTCAGATAGGATCTCCCGAGAGGCTTTCTGGTTAGAAAGTAGGACAAGGCCTCAGCATCCAGGACCTTTGCCTAGTCCATTTTCTCCCTCCATCCATATTGCCAAGTCAGGAATTTACAATCTCAGCTACTTTGACTCTCCTGCCTCTGCTCCCCTCTCCTGCAAAACACACATACACACAGAAGCCAGGGGTTCCTTGAATTCCTTCAGTATCCTTCTATATACACATACAGCATATGCACATGTGCACACAGCATGTACACACACACGCCAAGGATTTCCTGGGTTCCTTCAATATTCTTTTATACACATACACGCACACTTTTCTGACTTCCTAGAACACATTGGATCAGGAAAGTTTGGAGTACAATGTGTGATTTTTGGCTAAAGTCGTTACAATTAAGTCTGATAATCCACTGGACAACGTTGTAGAGCATGAAAGGCAACAAAGAAAAGGTCACCCACCTCCTGAGTTTGCTCAGCTTAAGGCTGGATTGCCGGTGGAAAGCAGCCTGGCTTTCTTTCTGCACACTGATCTCAGGCTGACATCTCAAAGTGTGAGTTCTACCACCCCTGTATTCTTAGCCAGCTGCTCTTCCACATGTCTACCCCTGCCACTCAGGGCAGAATCTTCCGTTAAAACAACAGGAAAAGCTTTCTGCAGTGCAAAATAGAGACCTTAACACCACTCAGGCTTAAAGCTGCTCTCCACCCAGCCAGCCCCACCCAGAGCTGGCAGGAGCTACCTTCCTGAACTTCAGCAGGCTGGTTTATTGAGAGACTGAAATTCAGGGGGATGCATAGGTGACAAGGCTAAAGGAAAAGCTGTCAGCTCTAGTCCCTCTGGCTGGGGGAGGGAAAAGGCGAGGGTCATCCTGGCATCGTTTTTTAAGGAAACTAAGTTCACAATTCAAATGCACTCAAAAATGGTGCCTTCTTGAGTCCCTGATTAAGATGGTTGTGACTGATCATTGTCGCCAAGCAGGTGGGCTGAGGACTGAAGATGAGGTGAGGGAACCTGGTAGGGAAGAGCACATGGGTCCAAAGCTGGCCTGGGGCTAAATGTAGTATTAATCCCGTCTCTTCAAACCCGCACCCTAAACCCTACGGATGAGGGAAGTGGAAAGATTCCTAAAAGCCCCCTACAAGGGCAGTGAGAGGGCAGAGAGCAGGGGTCTGCATGAGGGGCCACTCAGACCGCACTCAGAGCCCTGGGGAAGGTGCTTGTCCTGTGGGCTGGAGCAGGCAGCCATTGGCTGGCCAGGGACAAGGGCAATGGTGCCATCCTGTCCAAAGGGCAGTACCCAAGTCAGACTCCTGTCCTATCAGGTGGGGGAGGAGGCAGATATCCTCTCTGTTAGGCCAAGGTCAGGCCTTACTCTCTGCCACATTGCCCAAATCAAGACAGACACAAGGAGCTGAGATTTTGTGATCTTGCCTCCAAGCTACAAGGAAGTGTTCAAAGCCAATACATGTGTTTCAGATTAAATCCAGTGCGAGACAAACACAATCTCTCCTTCACCTCCTCCCAGAACCACACAGCCTTCAAGCCACATGGCAGTGGACCTTGTGGGCAGTGCCGGGAAGGGCACCTCCCTCTCCCCTTGCTCTGGGAGAATGATTCAGAGGGCTCCCCTCCTGGCCCAACTATGGTGACCCCACCAGCCCCCAGGCAGTGTTCCCTCTGCAATCGTGGAGCCTGAATGAGTCAGGTCAGGGTCCCCAGAGTTGTATCTCTCCAGACGCCAGAAGGACCAACCCTAGGAAGAGCTCCTTCGCACCCTCGCCCTCTAACCCTCAGCCTGGGGGCTGAAGTCCCGGTGGACGGGCCAGACAGTGACGGGGTTTCTGGGAAGCCCATAGCTTATGTTTAGCTCCTTGCTGTGGTTTGCCCCCAGGAGCGGAAAGGGTGTGGATAGCCCTCCTCTCCAGCACTGGCAACCGAGCCCCCAAATAACATCTACTGGCTGGGCTAGACAGCGGTCATCTTTTGCAAGAGGCCAAAACCCCATTGGTCTTCCAGATTTTACTTGCAGCTAATTTGGCCAAAGAGAATGGGTGGGGGCTGGATGGAAGGACCCGGCTGTACTCCATCCCAGCCCTGGGGCAGGCTCAGCAGGGCCAGCTGCTGGGCGGTGTTAGGAAGTTATCTTTGAAACCAGCGCCAGCTGCTTTTGAAAAAGGAGCTGCAGGAGGGGCTGCCTCCCTGACTGCCCCAGGTGGGAGCACGGGTCCCTGAGAGCCCCGTCCTTCCCTCTTCCCTCAGGGGCTCAAGAGCCCCTCTGTGGCACTGCCCTCTGCTTCCCCCACCGCCTCCTCTATTATTTCCCACTCACTTCATTCAAAAGTCTTTCCAGCCTCATTTCTAATGGGTGCAATGGGGCTTGGGGATAATTTTGTCCTGACCTTCTGCCCCACCCCACTCCATCTGCCCTCTCTCGTCCACTCACCCAGTGTGCAAGCTGCAGAAGCTACCACCTCCCACCTCCTCTCCTCTGCACCTCTCTTTTCCGCTCCCTGGAGTACCCCTGCTTCTCCCTAGTCCACCCAGCCCGGGGGACACACAGACTTCCCCTGGCACATATACCAGACAGGGGCTGCTTTACCTGTGGGTGCGCTGCAGCTCCACTCCCAGTCTAGGTCCCTCAGAGCCTGCACACTGGGGGGCCCCAGCCAGCAGGATGGCTTTTTCGCTGCCTCCCAAATCCTTCAGCCAGCAGGCTTCAGATTACAACTACTCCTTTCTTAAAGCGACCTGCACTCAATTTGGGCTCTGTGATTGCATCATTGTCTGCTGTTAACTTTAACCCGCTGATGCCCTTCTAACACACACACACACACACACACACACACACACACACCCCGACATACACATCCCACTTTTCCACCTCACCTTCCTTCAAGGTGCTGGCCTTGCATGCTGCCTGCTGGGACACCCTGCAAGCTGACGGACCCCCAGAGGGCACCCTGGCCAGCCTCAGGGGGGAGATGGGACCGAGGACTAGTGTTCAGCAGGAGAAGGCTGAGACACGGGCTGGTGGAGTGGAGTAAACGGGCCCAGTGGTTGGGACTCTGTGTTCTTCCTAGAATGTGGCTCTGGCACTAACTGTGGGATTGGGGGCAAGGTAACTCCCCTGGCTCCTACTATCTCTTGTCTGAAAACGGAAGGGATGGACCTGGGATGTCTGTGTGCTTTTTCAGTTCTGAAATTCTGTGATTTCTGAGGATCTAAAAGGGCAGCAGGGAAAATATATGACCAGAGGAAGAAATGAGACCCACTGTGCACGTTAGTAGTGAAGGAGGTCTACCATGTGCCTAGCACCAGCAAGGTACAGTAGAAGTTGCCTGAAAAGGAGAAAACTTAGACCCTGCCCGCCTTGGGCTGTTTAGGTACTTGCAATAAGGCTGTGAAACCAAAATATCGGAAATAATTAGAGAATATAACAAAACATTTCCTAAGCGGGTATGAGCCTTGGCTGAAAATTCAATAGTCATTCACAGAAGGAGAGGTCAGCGAAGGAAAGGGGAGCACTTGGAGAGATTAACTTCAGGAAGGGAAAATTTAGGGGGAGCTGACAGTTTTGTTCACATTTCAAGTGTCCATGTTCAAGGCTCCAGGGAGCAGAGCTAGGTAGGGCCCCTGAATAGAACTTTCCAGTGGGCAGGGTTCAGCTTTGTGTAAGGAAAAATGTGTCAATAGAGTTTAGTCTGTTTCAACAAAAAATTGTCGAGTATCTCTAAAGGCACTATTCTAGGGACATGGAGGTGGGAGGAGAAGAATAAGACTCAGTGTTCACCCTCCAAAGATTTACTAGCTAATTAAGGAGGCTGAGACGAGAACAGATCATTCCAATATACTGCGGCACATTCTGTGATAACAGTCGCTATAGCTGTGCTATTCAATATGGCGGCCATTTGCCACAATTGGCTACAGAGCACTTGAAATGAGGCCAGTCTGAATTGAGATCTGCTGTAAGTGTAAAATGCACACCAAATTTTGAAGGCTTACTATGAAAAAGGAAAGGAAAATATCTCAAGTTTTATATTGGTTACATATTGAAAAGATATTATATTGGTTAAATAACATTATTAAAGTTAATTTAGTCTTTTTTTTTAATGAAAAGTAAAAAGCAAAGAGTTTTATTGAGGAGTAATACATCTCACGAATTGGGGAAACAAGGCAGAGAGGAATCTACCAAGTGCTCCTTCTTTTTATTTTTTAACATGACTACTAGAAAATTTAAAATTGCATAACTGCCCCACCTTTGTGGCCAATATTATATTTCTGTTGGACATCACTGCTCCACAGGGTATTGGTACCACAATTAGCATGAGGTTTGGTGAGGGTTTTCTGGAATATGTGAATCCAAGCTGAGCCTTGAAGGGTGAATAAGAGTGAGCTAATCATAGAAAGGAGTCCCTGAGTGGTGCAGATGCTTAACACGCTCGGCTGTTAACCAAAATTTAGAGGTTCAAGTCCACCCAGAGGTGCCTCGGAAGCAGGGACAGATTACCCAATAAGCAAGGTATGCACAGGCTTACTTGTGCTTACTTACTAATCTTCAGTGCACAATTTTCACCTATCAAAGATGTAGTGAAACCCATGTAAAATTGTGTGCTACAGGTTAGTAAGTAAACACAAGTAAGCCCCTGAGTACCTTGCCTACTGGTTAATCCACCCCTGCTCAGAAGAGAGGCCTGGCAATCTACTTCTGAAAAATCAGCCATTGAAAACCCTGCGGAGCACTGTTCTACTCTGACACCCATGGGGTCACTGTGAGTCAGGGTCAACTCAATGGCAACTGGGTTTTGGACTTTTTTTAAACATAGAAAGGTGGGAAGGGCAGCAGGTGGAGGCAATCCTCAATAAATGATATTGAAACAAGTGATTTTCCATGAGGACAAATTAAAAATTGGATCCCTATATGACATCAAACACAAAAATTAATTCCAATACTTACCACAATTAAGAAATAATTAAAAATTAATCCCAGTGCATTAAAGATTTAAAACTGAAAAACTATTTCTGTTTCTATAGAACCTTTTCTAATGACTTATTTAAATTATTTACTTATTTTTGAATAGGTAATTTTTTATTCACATGAGTGAAAACTCAAAAGCAGTAAAAGGTATGCAGTGAAAAGTCCCTCTCATGTTGAGCTCCAGTCACCCGATTTTACTCCCGGGAAGCAGCCAATGCTAATCTCTTTCTTGTGTATCCTCTTAGAGATATTCTCTGCTTTTAAAAAAGCAAATACACACACACATACAACAGGCAAAACTGTAAACACATTTTAGAAGAAAATATAGATGGATACTTTGTGATCTCTGGGTAGGAAAGATTTTTTAAACAAGACACCAAAAAACCACCAATTATAAAAAGAAAAGATTGAGAAATTTGGCATTAAAATTAAAAACTTATTTTCATGAAAAGATATTGTAAAACAAAATGAAAAGACAGGCCTCTTGCCGGGAGATAATATTTGTAATACATATAACTGACAAAAAAAATTACTAACTGTAATATCTAAAGAATTACAAATCAATAGGAAAAAGAATTCAATAGAAAAATAGGCCCAGGTAATTCACAGAAGAATCCTAAATGGCCAATAAACTTATGAAAAGATGTTTTATCCTCACTAGTAATCAGGGGAACGTAAAGTAAAACCATAATGAGATTTATATTTCACACTCATCAGATTGGCAAAATTTAAACATCTGACTATACCAAGTGTTGACAAGGATATCGACAACCAGGATCTCTTATGCCCTGCTGGTGAGAATGTATATTGATACAACTGCTTTGAAGAACAATCTGGCAATAAATGGCAAAGTTGTGTGTAACTGTAGGTTGTTGTCAGCTGATGTCAAGTCGGTCCCCAACTCATGGCAACAACAGAATGAAACGCTGCCCAGTCCTACACCATCCACATAATCAGATTCAGAACCAACCATTGTGATCCAAAGGGTTTTCACTGGCTGATTTTCAGAAGTAGATTTCCAGGCCTTTCTTCCTAGTCCATCTTAGTCTGGAAGCTCCACTGAAATCTGTTAAGCGTCGTAGCTACCCACAAGCCTCCACAGACACACGGGGGTGGTAGCTGCACATGAGGTACATTGGCTGGGAATCGAACCCTGGTCTCCAGCGTTGAAGATGAGAATTCTTCCACTGAACCACCACGGTGGATTTGGTGATTTAACTTTCCAGTGACTTCTTATCTCTCTTAGAATAAAAGCTACTATCTTTATGATGACCCTAAAGTCCCTAGCTCTTGTCTGACCTCTTTCCTACCCCCTCACTCATTCCACCCCAACCCCATGGTCTCCTCTTCATCTTGAACCTTTCAAGCATGCTCCCACCTTAAGAACTCTGCACTTGCCATTCGCCCTGCCCAGAATGCTCTTCCTGAGACTTGCACAGTGCCCTCTCTCACCTCCTTCCGGTCTCTGCTCCAGTGGCCCTTGCTCTCAACCACTGCACCTCAGGGCTACAGGTGGCTACTGCCACGTGTACACTAGACCCTCACAGACAAGGCCCACCATGGAAGTGAGCCCACCCACCAGCAGTCATGGTGCTCCCCACCTGCGTAAATACCCATGTTGCCCCCAGCTCCTGGGCTGTGGCACAGAGGAAGGCGTCAGCACTGTGCCAAGTGCCCCCAACTGTTTCCCCTAAATCTTCAGGCGAGGACAGCCTCCAGCTGGAGCCGGGTGTTCCCAGTAGCCTGCCCCCGGCCAGCGGGCGCCAGCTCCTGGCAGAGGGGCCAGCATGTAATTAGAAACTCCGCAAGCTCCCTAATTGCCAGTTCTTCTTCTCAACTGGGAGGCTGGCACTACTCTGAGCTGCCCTTGCTGCCGACTGCCTGAGGCATGTCGTGGGGAGCAGGCTGAGCACAGAGCCAGTCTGGCATGGAGGTGGTCCTGGAGAGGGCCAGCAAGGTCAGAAGGGACTGTGCAGGGGAGAAGGGCTGGCCAGTGGCCACCGATCCCAGACGTGGCACAGAGTGCTGGGGCCTCTCCTGGGGATCCAGCCTGTTTCTGCCCAGACTGCCCAGCACAGTTGGCTGGCCTCCTCCCCGAGTCTGCCCTGTGGCCTCCTCCCTGCCCTCCTCCAGCCCCGTTTGCTCCCACCCGTGCCCAGAACAGTGACATCAGACCAGCCCATTCATTCTTTATTCAGTTGGTGTAAAAATCACTTCAGGAGCTCATGAGGCTCATGTCTGCCTCAGCCCCTGAGCTAGCAGGCAGAGGAGGAAGGCAGGAGAGAGGAAGGAAGAGGGATCCTGGCAGTGTTGGCATCTCCGAGGATCACTAGGAGCCCGGGTAACAGGCTGCAGACCAGGAGGGGCAACATGCCCAGCCTTCAGCAGCTTATGTCAGACACCCAATCTCCACAGACTGAACAGGACAAAAGGCCTCACAAGGGGCAGGGCCAGCCCATGGCGCCTAACCCACAGTACCGTGCTCTGTCCCTGGGCCACCATCAGGGCCCATCTTCCCTCTCTGCACTCAGGGTGTCCTGGGACACATCCAAAGGCAGCCTCCCCTTCCCGTCCCTCCCTATCTTAGAAACAAACATGGAGGTGCCCCAGCTCACTTAGGGAATAGCCTAACCTAACTTCCTGACAAACCTGGACTCACAGCTGCCCTACCACCCAAGCCCCAAAAGGACACGCTTTGGAAGAAATGATGCAAGATTCCCTAAGGCCTGCCTCCCCAGCCCCACCCCAACCCCAAATTCTTCCAGAGGAGATGAGAAAGAATGGTTGCTGTCCCCTCCCAGATTGCCCCCCAAGACCCTGCCCCCATGCCACGAAGCTGGTTGGAAAGAGTCACATGAGTTGAGAGGCTGGTCCAGGCAGGGACTCAGGACACTGGGGGCCATGGCCCCTCACTTGGGGATGCTAGGTTGGGGGTAATCCTCCTCCAAGTGGGGCACAAGTTTCAAGTCAGGGCCAAAGGGCCTGTGTCCGTGGAGGAAGGTTTTCAGTTTCTGGAAGGGGTTGTCTTCGGGGGAATCCTGCTCCTTGCGCTCCCGCTCCACGCCAGGGTTGGGGTTCCTCACGATGCCCACAAAGAGGGGCAGGCCTGTGGTGTCCTCAAAGAGGAGAAAGAGGAAAGGGCGGTTCACGCTGAAGGAGGAGAGGGACATGCGGGACATGGCCGTGCCGGTTGCCGCGGCTGCCTCCACACCGGCTTCACTCAGTTCCAAGGTGGACTGATGCTGCACGCTGGACACCACTAGGCTCTGGTCAGAGATCCCTCGCAGGTCTGGTGCCTGGAACAGCTTCTGCAGGCCTGCCAGGGCAGCAGACGGCTGGTCAGAGCTGCCCTCTGCCCACAGCTGCCTGCCTGGACCTGCCTGGTAGAGTGTTGGCCCTGGTCAGAGAGCACCTTAAACCCACAGAACCCCAGCTAACTCCTGTTTAGCCTTCAAGTCTCAGCTTAAATGGCACTGCCTCCAGGAAGCCTTCCCTGAAGTCCAACTGGATGATGCCTTTTCAGTGTTCTCCCACAGCTCCTCTGTCTTATCACTTATACTGAATAGGAAGTGCTTGGTTCCTTGTCTGCCCAGCCTATTAGACGGAGCTCTTCGCACACAGGCCGCTCCCAGGGCCTAGTACAGCACCTGGCACATAGAAGTTGCTTAGCAAATGGCTGATGGGTGGATGCATCTCCTTAATAGTGTGAAATCCCAGCTTATCTTCCTCTTCCTTCTAGGAGGCCACCCCAGGCTCTCACCTGGGGGTCTTTGCAATGCTTTTGGGCAAAGCAGGTCCCCATTCCCTGGGCCGCACATCCCATCCCAGGATAGAGGGTCCAGGGGCTCATATCAAATCCCCTCATCCTTCCTAGGCCCCAGAAAAGGGTAAGACACAAGACTAACTCTGACCCAGACCCACCGCCAGGCAGCAGCTTCCTTATCCGCACTGCCCCAGCCTGACCTAGGCGACAGGTCCATGCCCAGTCTCCTTACCCAGCTGGCTAAGGATGGCCACCAGGTCCAGCTGGTATTTCAGGTGCAGCTTTGGCAGCTGGACATCGGTGGGCCTCTCCTGCACTTCAGGCTGGTGCAGGGTGTCCCAGCTCAGGTTGGCCAGCACCTGGGACACGTTCCACTCAAACTGAGCAGGCACAATGACCACAAAGCTCATGTTGTTCTTAAAGGGGAAGTGAGCCACCTGCAAACAAGAGAAGGAGACAACATGAGGACCAGCAAGCACCCAAGCCCAGGGGGTGTCTGGGACAACATGTGCTTTGGAGATAGATGAACGGGGTTATCATGTGTGGGCTTCCACCTCACTGAGCCTTCAGCTCCTCATCTGTGAAATGGAGTCACATCACCTGCCCACCTTGCAGGCTGGAGCCTACTAGGTCCTCCTGGGTAGGGACACGGAGGGACCTTTGAGAGCTGCCAGCCCTAGGGACATGACTGCCCTACAACAGGAAGCTGGGGCCCTGCCTCCAGCCCAGGCCTGCTCCACGGCCCGCCTGCTCCCCTCCCCAGCTCCAGCACCCGGGCTACCCAGGCCGACCTGTATGTCAGGCTGCTCCAGCAAGAACCAGCGCAGAGGGTACTTGTGGGCTCGCATCATGTCCACAGGCACTGTGAACTGCTTGTCCAGGTGGAAGGTGTCTCTCTGGGTGAGGCTTGGGTCAAACTTGTTCCTCCAGAGACCTGCATCCAGGCAGAGGGCAGAGGCCACGAGGGCTGGGACCAGGGTGGGCTCCTCACCACCAGCCTCTTCCATCCCACCCTGAACATATTCATGGAACAAGAGGTGGAGGCCAGGACTCCCGGGGTTGCGTGCCAGCAGACCTCCGATGTTCTGAGGTCTCTGCCCTGCAGCGTTTTTTATATCTGGGCTGCGCCCTCCCAGCCCCTGCAGTGCTCCTAGGAAGCCCCCTGGGTGGGTGTATACCCAGTTTCCTGCGAGGGTACCATCTCCACAACAGCCCCCACTACCACCCAGTTCCTAGGCCCCCTCCCCTACCACACCCTTCCCTGTCTCCTGCCCTCCCCCAAGCCATGATCCAGAGAGTTCTCCCCACTCCCTGCCTCATGGCTCAACCCTGAGGAGGGAGAGGGACCCTCAGAACAAGTCCAGCTCAGCCTCCTGGACAAGACAGAGGAAACCGAGGGTAGAGGCTACGGGGGGGCGGATACTTGAGAAGGGGAAGGCCGCACCCTGGAAGTGGATGGCGTTAAGCAGTAGCAGCACTGTGTTTTCAGGCAGCTCTGAGAGGAAGTTCTCAATCTTCCCCTCCGTGGCCTCCTTCACCCACTGGTTGATGCTCGCCAGGTCATCCCCCTGCCTTCCCGTCAGGCTCATGGGCTTTGTGCCAAAAAGCTGTTCTGACTGTTCCAGGAAGTCCTCTTTGATGGGAAATCCTATACAGAAGAGGCAGCAAGCTGTTCCCAGGACTCAGGGCCCCACAGCCACTGATGCTCGTGATCTGCTGGGCCCAGGCTACTACCCAAGGCTAAGCCCATCTCCCTCACCCCCGTCCACCCCTCGGGGGCTCTGCCCTCAGCACCTACCTTTCTGTAGGTACATTCTGGTAGCCAGTCGGAATGCCCCAGGGCCCAGGTCCCGGTAGAGGCGGCTCAGCAGGTGGGGAAGGCAGGGCCCTGAGTCCGCATGCAGCACCTGCTGCAGCCTCTGCAATGTCTGGTTCCGAGCACCTGGAGGGGAATGCGTGGGCTGTGGCCCAGGCCGGGGGTTCCTCCAGGCCTTGTTCATCCAGTCCCTCTTGGATACCAACCATGAGCATACCCACAGGACCACCAACTCTCCTCCCAATTCCACTGAACCAGACTGAGTGACAGGACTCCAAGTTCTACTCTCACTTCCACCATGACAGACAAGACGACCTCACTCCTACAATTGCCTCCTCTCTCTCGACCTCGGTTTCCCACAGTAAAACCCTCCAGTCCAATGGGAGACACTGTAGCTATGAAACTCTTGCATAAAAATCACCAGGGGAACTTGTGAATAGGCAGATCCCAGAGCCCAATCCCTGGGATTCTGATTCACAGAGACTTGGGGGGTCTGGAATCTGCATTTTTACCAAACACCCAATTGATCCTGATGGAGGAAACACCCACTGCGATACTCTGGAGGATGGGGTTCCTACTGGCCTCCCAGCTCTGCCAGTCTGGACAGGTGCTACCACGGTACCTAGCGCCAGGTGAGACAGTGCCAGGGCCACGCTCAGGGGCGACAGGATGAGGTTGGGGCTGGTTGACGTGTGGGCAACCAGGGAGAATAGGTCTGTGGTGAAAGCCATCATGGCCTGGGCCAGCCTGCGAGTCTGCTCCGGGGTTGAGGTCCCCTCACAGTCTGCTGGGGCCCTTTTCAGGGCATCATGCTCCTGCAGGGGCAATTCAGCGGTCAGTGAGGCCAAGGAGTCAGCTCCAGGCTCTGTGTTGAGGGTCTCCCTCATAGCCCCAGCACCTGGGGGTGGCAGGACCTTGTCCCAGGCCTGAGGGAAAAGCGAGAGACATGTGATGGACACTGGGACCACGTCCCTTCCTTTGGTCCTTCCGACCCTCTCCCTTCTGCCTCCAAACTCCAGAGCCTCAGACTCAATGCCATGCCCCTAGCCCCCTCACCCCTGCTGGGTGGTCTTCCTCCCTCTGGTCCCGTCCACTCTTCCCATCCCCACCTGCTTGTACCTTGTTCAACTTGAAGAGGGGAAACGGGGGAAACTTCTCCCTGCTCTGCCCTCTCATGAACTGCTGAGACGAGGGAACGGATGGACAGTGGCCCTTGGTGTAGCGCCCAACCTGCACAAGTCACAGGTGAGTCTTCAGACCCAATTCCTCCCTGGGGCCTCCCTCCCTCTCACATGCCCCTCACTCCCCAAGTACCTGCTGGTCCAAGGGCCCCATGGCACTCACAGGAGAGAACTATTGAGAAAGGGACGGGGTAGGAGGGGAAGCCGCCATCAGAGCCAAACCCTGCATCAACCCTGTCCCCTCCTTCACCTCCCAGCCTGGCCCGTCTCCTCCTCCCCCTCAGCCCCTCTGGCCTCTCCCACACTGCCTCCCAGCCTCTTCTTCAACGTGAGGGACCCCTGTCCCACGAGACCCAGACCCCTGCTCACCACCAAGTAGGGGCCTTGCAGGCAGGACAAGCTAAACACCAGGAGCCCCCGGAGCAGTGCCATGTTCCTGTGTCAGGGATAGGAAGTCTCAGCTCCCACCTCATACCCCCACACCCGGCCATTGGAATCCAACCCACCGCGCTCATGCTCATGGACACGACCAACTCCTGAGCTATGGAACGTGAGCCCAAAACACATTAGCGGTGCTTCTCAGCTCTGAGAGGCTGGGATTTCTCCTGGCACTTGTTTTTTGTTTTCTTTCTGGTTTTTCACATTTCCAGCACTGAGAATGTTTTGATTAATAGAAGGAAAATATTATTTAAAAAAAAAAAATCCTTATCCTTTAAGGCCTCAGATTTGCCTCCTGCCACGGTGACCTGGGTGCCTCCCTTAGCCCCTCTGGGCTTCACCTTATCTTGGAAAATGGCAGCAAAAGTCCCTACCTCCTCCCATTTGTGTTGTGAAGACCCAGATAAGGCCATCTTCGTAAACACTGAGTACAAGGCTGGTACTCCATTCATGGCTGTTTTCACTCTAGCTCAGGATCCCCCCTTCTGAGGAGCCTGCCCTGAAGCCCTTGCATACTACATCTCCCCCCACCCAGAGCCCCCACCCAACCTGCTATCCATGTGGCCAGGCCTCACAGAATGGACAGGAGTGAGGCCCTGAGGTCCTCAGACACAGCAGGGTGGTGGGGTGGACCCTAGAGCTGCCCTGTTGACCCAGCAGTAGAGCCCAAGGAATGACTCCAGCCAGAGCCACCCTTGGACTTACGGGAATCACAGGCCTCACCCCCAACCCTGGCCCAGGCCAGCTCTGGGAAACCAGGCTGCTGAGTGGCAGGTGGATGAGCAGCTCTTAGCCTAACGAAAAAAAAAAAAAAAAACTATTGCCGTCGATTCGATTCCAACTCATAGCAACCCTACAGGACAGAGCAGAACTGCCCCATAGAGTTTCTAAGGAGTGGCTGGTGGATTCGAACTACCGACCTTTTGGTTAGCAGGCAAGCTCTTAACTGCTCAGCCACCAGGTCTTAACCTGGGGGAAGACAAATCAGCCTCAGCTGGGGCCACAGAGCAGGAATGCCACCAATCTCAGGGCCAGGCCATCAGGAAGACCTTTCTATCACCCTGACCCTACCCTCCACAACAGGCAGGGCCCTTGGCCATGGTCCTGAGCTCCAGCCTGGGCTTTTGAGTGTTCCTCACAAGAAAAGGACTTTAGTTCTTCAAATCCCAGAGAGCAACACTGAGCCCCACTTCCCACTCAGTCTTACCCGCAAAGGCCGAGCCTTGGCTCCTCACCACTTCAGGAGGCCGGGAATCTACAGGCCTCCTGAACAAATTCAGCAGAGACTCCCACAGAGGGGACCAGTTCCCAGCTCCTCTCCTGCCCCATGGAGCAGGTCCTAGCCACCCCTCCCTCGTACCTCTGTAGGTTCCTTGCTGCTGCACACGATGTTCCTCTGGACCCACTTTGGTGCTCCCCACGCTTTGCCCAGCTCCAGCCAGCCCAGCCTAGCCCTCCCCTCCCACCAGGACCTTTGCTCTGAGCCAACCCCTTTCCAGATTGCTTTCTCTTCTGGTAAATATTGGCAAGCACATCCGGTTAAACATTGATATTGGGGCCAGAAGCCCCTTTCGCCCCTTTCCCACCAGACATCTAATCCTGAGGTGGACCCTGGAGCCCCCATAGGTTTGGATCCCACCTGAGCCTGGAGAAAGGAGGTACAGGAGGAGACAATAGAGGAGGCTGGGCTTGGTCAGGTGAGGGCAGACCCAGGAAGGGCAGGGGCTTGGCCCTATGTCAAGCTTTCCAGAGGCCCTACAGGTGGGATGATTCCCGTTCCAGCCAGGCTCAGAGAAGTTACGTGGACCTGCCCAAGGCCACAGAGCTGGACCCAGGGTCACATCTAGGTTCCTGCTTCCAACCTTGTCCTCCCCTCTTCCCCACAGCTGCCTCCCTCGCCCCAAGGGAGGGAAGAGGAAGCTGCAGGCGTCTAGGCAGAAAGCCTGGGATAGGATGCCCACCCCCAACCCTTAAAGCCCAGGATCCTGGTTGGCTGCCTTCAGCCTGCGGTGGGGAGAGGAGCATGCTGAGGGATGGAGCTTCTCTCGGAGGTATTCAAGTCCTACCTCACCGGGAGGAATGCCTCCTGACCCTCCCGAAGGATGAGGGTTCTGGAAACTGGCCTGGGGCTGCAGGCACCAAAGCCCCATACCTCATGCCGCCCAAAGAGCAGTGGTCAGGCTGCCGCCCCCACCCCCACCCCTCCCCACTGCCCTGGAAGCCGCTGGGTCTCAACTTTCCCCACCCTAACACCACCAAGAACAGCCACACTCCATTCCACAGCTCTTCCAAACCATTTACTGACCATATTTACATCTATTGCAGATAGTGAGGAGGCAACAGGGCCGAGCCTCAGACCTCATCTCGGCTCCAGTGTGAGGACAAGGGGACACCTGGGTCTTCCTGTCCCCTGGGAGAGACCTGAGGTGCAGAGATGATTCTTCTTGCCCCTTCTCTCGGGGTCATGGACCCTCCCCCCTCAGAGGGGTTCTGGCCCTAGGAGCTGCCTCCTCAGCTCAAGGCACAAACACTGTGGGTGGGGGTGGGCAGGCAAGGCATGGGGTCACGCTGAGCTGGCACCAGCTGGCCCAGCCCATCTTCCCTCCCCTGGTCCTACCCTCTTTCTTTCCCCACTGGTCCCATACCAGGCCAGGCCTGGCTGGGTGGACACTTATATCCCAGACCAAGGCCCTTAACTCCTGGACCACAGCCAGCCCTCCCCAGCAGCTGGAGTCCAAGCACCATCAGTGCCCTGGACCAAAGCAGCATCCCTGCCCTTTCAGAACAGGGAGAGAGAGTCCAGCAAGGGGGGCCTTGGCTGGAGACTGGCTGGGCAGGGCCAGCCTCCCTTCCCCTTCGTGGAGCCTTCCAGTCCTCATGTGGACACAGAGGGCAGGTCCAGGAGAAACAAGGATACCTGATGCTCTCCCACACTCTCTCTCTTGCTTCCCGCTGGCTGGGGGCAGCATCTCCCCAAGCTGTGAAGACTTGTCAGATACCTTCTGGCAGCCTAGTTGGCTTTAGGGGTTCAGGGGCCCAGGCACAGCCCAGCTGGAGGCCCCAGCTGGCTGGTCACATGGATACACAGGGTATGGGGTCCCAGGCCGGCCTGAAGGGAACTGCTGTTGGGGGTGGACTCTTGGGGATGTCTGCCAACTCTTGCCAGGCCAGCCCCCCGCCAGCCCCCAACTCAGCCTAGGCTAGGAGGCGCACGACCCCATTGTCTGAGCCCAGCAGGAGGTGGCGCTTGGTGGGCAGCAAGGCCAGGCTGGTGAGCGTGCCCCGGAAGTTCTCAGAGCTGAGCTTGGTGGTGGCTTGGGAGGGCGGCTCAAGCAGGGAGCAGACGCCGATCTTGTTGGCCACGGTGCCGGTGACCACCTCGCTGCCATACAGGTCAAAGGTGTGGATAGGGTCGGATGCTGACTTGTAGTGATGCGTGGGCTTCTGCTCCAGCTCTTTCCAAACAGTCAGGGAGTGGTCAGAGGAGGAGCTGACCAGGACACTGCCCTCCACTGCCTGCCCAGGGAGAGGACAGCCTCAGCAAGGGCTGAGCCCACAGAGCCCCAGGGGTCTTCCCGACTCCTCCCACAGCATCCCATGGGAAGATGGGGTACCCTGAGTGGATGACAGACTGCCACCCTCCCATGTCATACGAATGCTAACGTTAACATACTAGAATGTTATTAATCTATTCATCACTATAGTTTGAGAACTTGCTATGTGCTAGGCATGCAGCATTACACATCTAATCTTCATAACAATTCTGAGGTAAATGCTGTCATTGTCTCCATTTTACAGAGGAAAAAACTGAGGCTCAGAGAGATTAAGAGGTCAAGAAAATGGCCCAAGTCACAAAGCCAGTAAATGGCAGAGGCACGATTAACACCCAGGCTGACCCTAGAGTCCTCCTGGCCCTTTGCTGGAATGTCTGAATTTAGAGGCACCTGGGGCCCTGGAGGGAGCCTGGGGCAGCCTGCCCTCACAGTGGCAGTGCATGTCCCCTGGCCTCCATCCAGGAGGGTGGGAGAGTCCCGGCTGCCTAGAGAAATCCTCCCACAAGTAGCCCTGTTCCTTCCCTGAGAACTGTGATTGAGAATAAGGGTGGAGCAGGAAAGGGGGGCAGGACCCCCACGCCCAGGCCTGCCCCTGCCCCCACTAGGGCAGCCCAGTGCGGGGCATGGACTCTGCTCAGTGGGCTAGCGGCTGTAAACAGCCTCTCTACTGAGCTTTATTTAACCTGAACTGGGTCACGGACAGGGCCCGACCCCTGATCCTCCAAGCAAGACAAATATGGACAAGGGTTACTCATTAGAACATCTCCAGGAAGCATCAGGGTCAGCTCTGCCCCCTTGCTCCCGCCCCCACGGCCTGCCTCCTGCCCAGGCCCCTGCACTGCAGCTGGCTCCTGAGTTGGCCCAGGAGGGCACCCTCCCTGTCTGTTCGTCCCTGAGCAGGTGTCATCAGAGATGAGGGGCTGGAGCAGGTACTGGCGTCAGGCTGGGCAATGAGGAGGGCAAGGGGACCTGGATCTTCACCTTGATCTGCAGGATGTCCCCCTCATGGGCCGGCCAGCCACGCAGAACCAGGCCTGTGCGGGTGTCCAGGAGCACCATGAAGCCCGAGGAGAAGCCAGCCACGACGCTGCGGCCACTAGGGCTGACCGCCAGGGAGCGGACAAGCCCAGGGTTCAGCCCACCGCCCAAGCGGAACTCGTGCTGCAGGCAGACGGAGATTGAGAGCGAGGGAGCACCACCTGCCCCATCCCGCTTCTCCCTACAGGTCCTACCCCACCACCTAAGCCCACAAAGCAGGAAGGTTGAGCCTCTGTCCCCCTACTAAGCGGAGGCAAAAGCCCAGTGTCCTTTCCCCTCCTCTGTTCCCCTCACCTTCCATCACAGGCTAGAGTCCCAGCCCCAGGATTTGCTGCTGTGGGTGATCTATCTCCAAAGAGAAACACTAAGTGTCCTGGGGACAATACCCTGGCTGTCTCTCTTCGTGGGTCTCCCCTCCCAGCCAGGTACCCCAGCCAGGAGTCAGGAAGATGGGTGCCCCTGCTACCTGCAAGCCGGGTTTCCTGCAGTCCACAAAGCGCAGGGTAGAGTCAGAGGTGGCCATGGTGATGCTGGTGTGCGGGGCGGGCATGACAGCCACAGCGGTCAGGGGCACCCGACTGTCTGAAGGCTCCACTGTGCGAAGGGCCTTCCCTGGGAGGAAGCATGCAGTGGATCTGGGGTCCCAGCATCGGATGGAAGAGCCCTGGCCCCCTTAGCCCCCTGACTCCCGCCTACCCCCCTGGCCCACCCCAGATCTACTGCCTATGCCCAGAAGCTCCGAGGTCCTCAGAAAAACGCCGAAGATGTTTCTTTACCCTTTTACCTTCCTGCTTCCATGGCAAGGCCAAGCCTGTCCGCAAAGGAACCTCTTGTCTTCACATAGCACCCCCTGACCAAATACCACCTTCTCTGTCCACCCCAACACTACTCCATCCCCTTCCCCTTTTTAACCATATTTCTCCCTATAACAATGCCAAAAAATAACTAAGCAACCAATTACCAAATAGGTGCCATGTGCTACATTATGGCAAATCCCTACATGCATTATTCTCCAAACTAGTATTTCCGATTCCCTTTTTACAAATGGGTAAATTGACGCTTTCAGCAGCAAAGGGCCTTGTTCAAGGTCACTCAGCAAGAAAGTTGGTACAGCCAATTCGCACTCAGGTTTAACTGACTCCAAGCCCTTAACGGTGTCTCTGTGTGTCCTCACGTGGTCTCCCCAAACGCACATATCATTATAGCCCAACTCTCCCCACCCTTGGGCCCCATTCCAGGAAGCCGGTGGGGCACGAGATGGCAGCAACAGAACAGGCCTCACCTGGGCCGGCTCACCTGTGAAGGGGTCCCAGACGTGCACAGCCCCGTCACAGCTCACCACATACTGCGGAGCCTCAAGCTGGCCCACATAGAAAACACTCTTGCGGTGCTGGGCATAGACCAGGCGTGGGGCTGTCTCGCTGGTACCGTCCCCATAGTTGTAGAGCGGCCAGAGGCGCACCGTCCGATCCTTGCTGCCACTCAGGAAGAAGTCTTCGCTGCTCAGGGGCGCCACACACTTGACAGCCCCCGAGTGGCCGGGGAAGCTCTGCAGGCGGATCTGGTGGAAGTGGAAGTGAGCATCCTGCTGGCTCACACCAATCTCATACTGCCAGTAGGCCAGCCAGTTCCCGCTCAGCCCGTGCGCGCTGCGTGGCAGCTCCCGCTTCAGGGCGTGGTCCTCACTGCTGCTGCTGAGGCCCCTGCCGCCCACCCCGGAGATGGGGCCCAGAGGGCCGGGGGTCTCAGGCTGCGAGTCTGTGGGGATCTGGATACGATTCCCGACCAGGACGCTCCCGAAAGTCCCTGAGTGGCCGTCATCCTGGGGGCAGCCCCTGCCCTGGGGGTCCCACTCAGGGCCGGTGCTGGGCACGGAGGGCTCCACGCTGGCAGGGCTGCGACTGCTCGGGCTGATGCTCTCCAAATACAGCGCTGCCAGCTCCCCGACCAGCTCATGGTTGGGGACGATTTTCTGGATGATGTCACCTGGATGGCAGTAAGAGAGGGCCTAAGATCAGGGAAGCCGGCAGGGAGCTGCCACCACCCATCCAAGGGCTCGGGAACCACAAGAGACAGGGCAGGTGCTGGCTGTGTAACTGGCCGATTGACTTCATCTCTGAGCCTCCCCAGTAAAGGTGGCTCCATTCATTCAGTACAAATACATATACAAGTGTCTTCTATATGTGCTGGGTACCATGTCAGGCACCAGAAAGAGAACAGTGAACAGGACAGTTGGTTCACTGCCTTCACAGAGCTTACATTTCAGCAGAGGAGTGATAATGGTACCTAACCACAGATGACATTCAAATGCTCAGCAATGCCTGGCCTGTATGAAAAAAAAACCCTTTGCCATCGAGTCGATTCCGACTCACGACGACACCATCTGTTACAGAGTAGAACTGCTCCATTATCGTCTTCTTGGCTGTAATCTTTTACGGAAGCAGACCGCCAGGACTTTCTTCCATGGTGCTAGTGCGTGGGTTCAAACTGCCAACCTTTAGGCTAGCAGTTGAGAGCAAACTAGCTATACCACCCAGGGACCTCGGCCTGTATGGGGGCTGTGTAAATGACAGCTATTATTAAGGGCTTCCCATTCCCTCTCAGCTTCTGGACACTGTCATATATCTACCCGATTCCCCCTGCCCATCCCCAAGGAGACTCAATATTACAGGCTGGCTCTTGTGCCTTTCTTGCTAGTTAAAGCTCAGTCCCTGTTTATATGTCACCTTTGGACTCAGAGTGTGAGGCCAAATCCCTTTGCCCTGACCCAGAAAATTGTACTTAACACCCACTGCTGCTTCTAGGGGCAGGGGAAGCCTGGGGTCCTCCCGGGGGAAGAGAGGAAGCCACAAAGGCTGTCCAAGGGAGAACAACGGGGCAGTACCCAGCAGGCAGGAGAAAGGCACGTAGATAGTGTAGGCCATCTCCAAGGTGAACACCTTCTGCAGCTCGTCCAGCAGGCTGGGGTCCACTGGCCGCTGCTGCCCATCAGAGAAGACCACCTTTGGCAGCTGGCCCTCACCACGGCCCACAGGATCCAGCTTCAGATCCTAGTGGCAGGAAGCCCAGGGAGTAAACCAAATGCATCCCCATCTGCCCCGCCCCGCCCCACCCCACCGCAGCCAAGCAGGCAGGTCTGCCCACCTGGTGCCGAAGCTCATGCAGCTGAGGGAAGACTTGAAAGAAGGTGGCTACGGGTTCACTCAGGTGCTGCTGGACCATCTCCTGTCCGATGCGCAGGCAGATGAGGGCAATGAGGCTGATGGTTTTCATACACAGGACGGTTCGCGCCTGGGCTCCACCTGGGAACCTGGAAATAGAGCTTATGAGCTCAGCTCCCACTCTGTTGGACTTACCAGTAGCTATCAAAGGCTTTATTTAAGACCAACAAGTCTAAATCAGATGAGGAAACTATGGCACAGAAAAAAAGGGGTGGCTTGCTCAGGGTTGTGCAGTCAGAACCAGAACCTGGGATTCCTGATACCCCAAAACAACCAAACCAGGCCCGCTGCCATCAAGTTCATTCCAACTCATGGGGACCCCATGTGTTACAGACTAGAACTGAGCTCCACAGGGTTTTCTTGGCTGTAATCTTTAGCCAGATCGCCAGGCCTTTCTTCCACAGCATCACTGGGTGGGTTCGAACCGCCAGCCTTTCAGTTAGCAGCCAAGTGCAAACTACCAGTGCCAATCAGGGACCCTCCTGACACCTAGTCCAGTGTTATTTCCTCTCCACTAAGCTTCCCAACCCCTCCTGGGGAGCTCCCTTGGCTGGCTGCTCCCACCACAGGGGCTGGGCAGAGGCCTACCCCATGACGAGGGAAGTAAGGAAGCTGAGCACAGGCAGCAAGACCTCATGGCTGATACGGGGCAGGATGTCCATGAGGGTGGTGTCCGAGAGGTACACGATGATCTTCTGGGTCAATGTCACTGCTGCCAGCAGCCCTGCCTCCTTGCGGCTGTTCAGTCGGCTAGGGCCTGAAGTGCTGCCTGGGGCCACCTAGGGCCACAGAGTGGATGAGAGCTAGGATGCTCCAAGGCCCCCCTTTCACCCCCAGAGATCCCGGGGCCAACACTTAGGCTTCTCAGCTTCCCTTCCCCCGGGCCTGCCTGATTGGTGACTGACCAGGTAGCTGATGTAGGGCAGGTACTGGTAGGTGAAGACGGGCTCCCCATACAGGTGGGCAATGTGGAGGAGGCAGTTGAGCACAGGCCCCGACACTATATCGCCCAGCACCGGCCTCTTCTGGTAGATGTTGCCGGCACTCAGCGGGGGGCTCTCGCCACTGCTTGCTGTGAACTGTTGCCGGGTGGGCCCTGCCAAGGAAGGGCCAGCAGCCTTGAATAGCTAACAGAGGGCAGGAGGGAGGTCGGCCTTCTAGGGACTGTGGTGGCTGCTTCTGCTTGCTCTAGCCTAAGGTCTGCCCCACGCCCCACCCAAAGGAGGCAGAAGCATACACAGAGGGGCCCAGAACCTGGGAGGAGGAAGGAGCCCCTAGAGAAGACTGAAGATGGGCAGATGGCCTGGTAAGAAGCCCATCTCCAGCACTGACCACAGGCCTTACCAACATAACAAGATGTCAGCAGACGGAGCAGGTTCCGGGCCACGTGGCGGGACGCCACGGTGGGGCCGAGCTTGGCGGACAGCCAGCGCACCATCTTGCAGGCCGTATCTGCAGGGCGAGAGCAGACCCTGAGCTCATAGATAACAATGGCTCAGCACTCCCCCTGCTTCACTACTCCCCACCCAACATCTCTGGCTTCCACTCACTGCCCAGGGGCCCCACCTAACCCCCATCACCCCACACTACCACCCTCCATTTCCAAGTGGCAGAAGGTGCCCCAGGCCCTGGTCTTTGGGACTCTAGGTTTGAGGCTGCTCTGGGCTCCCATCCTCAAGCACAACTGGCAGGAGGATTCCCTTTCAGGGAAAATCCCCACATTCTTTAATGAGGCCTGGCCTGGCCCTGGCTACCTCCCCCTGTGGCCTCTGCTCCCTCCTCTCTCCCCTCTGCTCTCTTAAGTCTACCCATGCTGACTTTTTACTGATTCTATCATGAAACCAGGACAGCCTCAGAGCCTCGCACATGCTGTTCCCTCTGCCTGGAAGGCTCCTCCCACTTCAGACCCTACCATTTTCACCTGGCTGCCTTCTACTCCTTAAACCTCAAACTGACTCTACTTTCAGGAAGGCCCTCTACGACCCTGAAAACTACAACTACACGTTTTACATCTCCTCCTAGTAACCCAGATTAGTTCATCATGGTACTAACCCAATCTGCACTGACATACTGCTCTCTCATAAGGCTGTCTACAATGTTACATCTCCTCTGCCAGTGACAGCCTGTGGATGGACCTCCAGGCAGCACAGGAGAGAGCAGGTGGCCAGCAGATGCTGCTGTGTGAAAGGGAGGAGTGCCAGGCCAACGACCCCCAGCCTGAGACTTACCAAGCAGGATCCTCTGTTCTTTGCCCTCCGACTGCTCTGTCAGCGGCTCTTCCTCCTCCTCCCCATCTCCCCCGCCGCTGGCCACCACCGTTTCCATGGACAGCACCGTTTCGGAGAGAGTGAGTTCAGATGCCCTGGTGACCTCGTCCTGCTCCCCCTCCTCCTCCTCCAGCACCACACAGCCTTCCTCCTCCTCCTCTTCCTCCTCTGAGCCCTCACTTTGCTTCAGGTCCTGGCTGCTGTCCCCTGACCTGAGGCTGCTCTTGTCCGCAGGGGCACCCCCCTCGTCCGCGGCCTGCTCCTCGCCCAGGGAGGTCTCGCTGGCACTGCTCTTGTCACTCAGCCGGCCCAGGCTCACAGCCTCCGCCTCCTGGGGCTGTGGCGACTCAGCCACATAGAGCCCGGCTTGGAAGTCCTCAGTTTCGGGGAGGTCGGCCTGATCATGGAAGCTGACGCCAGACGTGTAGTCCGGCAGCCCCAAGCCCGAGGAGGCGGCGGGCTCCCCATCCATCTGAATCTCCTCCCCAAAAGCACAGGAGCCCGGCCCGGCCCCTGGGAGCCCGCTCTCCTCATCCTCCACAGCCCCTGACAGGCCCTTGCTTTCCTCCTGGAAGGCCTCCACACCAGCCAGCACCTGCAGGACATGGGGCAGCAGGTGGATGAGGAAGGCCTGCAGGCCCAGCCGAACCATGAGCTGGGCCACAAAGCAATCCGTGTACAGGTAGAAGCGGCCGTGGAGTCGGCAGGGGCTCTCGTAGGCACCGATGAGAGGCTTCAGTAGGTACTTATTGGCATTTTTGGGGCCCAGTGCCCTGGCAACAGGTTCAAATAGGTACCAGGCTGTGTACACAGCCGTGTGCTCCTCAGACATGAGGGACAGCACGAACGGCAGCAGGATCTCCAGGCCCTCGGGAGTGATGTCACTCAGCACCGCACCCAGCTGCTGCCACAGAGCAAACACCAACTCACGTCCCTGGGCCTCGTCCTCCAAGCGCCTTGCCTGGTACAGGAGAATGAACTTGTGTAGCGCTGGGAAGTATGGAGGGAAGGGAACCACGGAGCTGAAGGGGCTGAGCAGCTGGGCCGGGGAGGGCGGGGGCAGCCCCTGGGAGATGGGCCTGTACTCAAACGGCAGGTCCAGCTTGCCCTTCTCCCCAACCACAGGGCTTTCAGGTCCACTCAGCTGCAGAAGCGAGTCCAGCACAGGCTGCAGAGACACGGGGATCTCCTTGGGGTAACGTGTGCAGAGTCCTCGTACAGCCTCAAAGCGTACCCACAAAGGCGCATCAGGCTGCAGCGTCCGGACCCTGGTGGCAAAGACCATCTCGGCCAGCAGGACCCCCAGCGCCTGCATGTCCCGATGGAAGAGGTCCCGCAGCTGCATGGGCGGCCAGACCTGGGGCTGCTCAGGCACCTCCAACTGGCCACCTAGGCCTTTGGTCAGGAAGTTGCCCAGTTTCTCCAGCTCCTCCAGAGCCTGCACAGGATTGAAGCCCTCAGGAAGAAGGATCTTCCCCTCCTCGCTCTCCCCAGGGTCTACCCCAGCAGCTTTGCTCCTGCGGCCTGGGCGAGGGGCCGAGGTTACTGAGAAAGACAAGAGGCCAGGGGGGGCTTGGCTGGAGGAGGAGCCCAGCTGGTCACCCGCCTTCCCAGCAAGGGAGATGGAATCCAGAGCTTCCGTGGCCTGCTCCAAGTCATCTTCCCCCGCCATGGGTCTGTCCCTCGTCCACCCAGCCTCACAGGCAGTGGCCTCCAAAACCAGCCTACCCACCCCATTTGTCAGCTGTCCTACCAAGTCCTCCCGGCCTGTGGTCTCCTGGATGGGCTGGACCAACAGCCTGGGGATGAGTGGAGGTTCAGGGGTAAGGGTAGGTGCACCAGCCAGGCGCTGCGGGTGCGGCTGGTCAAACAGCTGCACCACGCCATAGCTGATGAGGTGGGTGTGGGCATCCACCAGGTGCAGACACACATTCTTCTCCTTCACAGCCTCCTTGCCCTGGAGTTTGTAGCCGAACGTGAGGTCGATCCAGTGGTGCAGGTCCTGGGACACCTCTCGGCTCTCCAGCAGTGCCCGGTGGGCAGCCACGAACTCCTGGCTGGAGCTGCACCAGGCCGGCACATCCAGGTCAGGCATGTCAGGGTGGATGGAGCAGAAGATAGAGGGGTCAGTGTAGAACTCAGGGATGCATTCATCGGGGGTCCAGTTCTGCATGCGCTCCATGCTGGCAGGGTACTCGTGGGGCTCCCATTGTGCCCGGACATGTCCACAGAGTACTGACCGGGGTGTGCGCCGAGCCTTGTACACGTAGTATGTGATGTCGGAGAGCACATCTGAGATGTGGTGAGGCACGTGAGGCGGCTCCCCACCACTCCCACCACCTGCGACAAACGCCTGCCGTGTCATCTCATACGTAAAGTCCAGCTGCTTATCCCCCTTGTTGAGGCGGAACTTGGACTTGCACAGATCTCGGAAGCGCCCTTGCGGTGTGGTGAAGTCCACTACCCAGGGTAACACTGGGTGGTAGTTGGGATCGCCCTGCCGCCGACCTGCCAGCCGATTCAGCTGCATGAGGTAGTCGAAGTTGCTGATGCGGCCATGGACCCAGTCTAACACGAGGTTCCTAAGTTCCTCCTTGCAGGTGAGACACTCAGGCCTCCCTGTCTGCTCTTGCCCAGGCTCAGTGCTGGCCCCGTCCCCTGCTGCAGGGGGCTCTTCGTTCTCATTCTCCTCAGGCCTCTCATAAGCACTCAGGTCCAGCCGGAGCTCGCTGCAAAGCTTCTCATCCACAGCGATGTGATGCAAAGATAGGGCCCCGCAGGCCAGCCCCTGGCTCTGACAGGCATCCATGGCCTGCAGCACACGGAAGAGAATGAAGAGCACCTTGGCTTGGCTGTTAGTCAGCTTGGCAGGGCTGAAGGTGACCACATCATGTAGAGAGAACTGTACATAAGGATGTACCACATAGAGCATCTCTGGCGACTCCAGCAGGGCTTCAGCTCGCAGAAGACTGGGGCAGGGTGGGCTGCCTCGAGGGGCACAGGGACCATCTCTGACATATGATGGGCACTGGGTAGCTTCACCCACTGGCATGAAGGCGCAACCATAGACCTTTTGCAGAGCCTGCCTTACTGAGTCCAGGGCAGGGGCCGCTGAAGGGGCAGGGCTATGACTATACGGCTGCCCGTAAGTGTGATACGCATGGCGCCACAGATTGCGATAATTCTGGGCAGCCACATCCTGCATGAAGCGAGTGAGGGTCTCGGGGCTGCAGGACCCCTCCTCAAAGGGCAGACCCCCGCCCAGTGGGTAGGAGAGTCTCCGTTTCCGCAGCCCGTGCACCTCCACGCGTGTCCAGCCTGGGGGCAACCTCTGCACCGAGCGTTGCAAGAGAGTCCTGACTTCCGTCTCGCCCAGGCCCTCAGCCCGGGGGCAGGGTCCCAGGGGCAGCCAGCGCTCGCGGAGGCTGGCCAGCCAGCGCACAGGAACTAAAGCCACCACGTGGGTGCCCCCCGAGGCCGGAGCCAGCTGTCGGGCATCGATGTTCAGGTCCTTCTCCACGCTCCGGAGCAGCCCCTCCATGTCGGGACGTGGGGGCGGGGAGCAGCCCTCAGCCCGGGTGGTAAGAGCGACTTCCCGCCCCCTTCTCCCTTGGGCCATCCCCTCCTGGCCGCCTGGGGGCAGCGTGGGGCTGAGCCCGGCCACGGCCCTCCTCACAACGGCTTCCGGGGTGCCAGGGCGGGCGGAGTGGGATAGGCAAGGGAAAAGGGATGGGGCAGAGGCGGCTGGGGTGGGCCAGGGGCAGAGGAGGTGAGGGCAAGGGTCGCTCTTACCCCTCACAGGATGCTGAGCTCGGGGCGCGGCGGGGCGGGGGCTGCAGGGCGCTAGCACCCGGTTCCACCGTGACGGGTCAGCTGACGCGAGTCACGTGATCGCCCCGGCACGGAAACAACCGCACGTGGCTCGAATGGGATAGAAGGGATCCGCCTCCTGCCGACATCAGCGCCCTCCCTTCTAGCGGCTCTGCTCTGGCCTGGTCCGGGCTTCGCTTCCTCCTAAGGCTGGGCGGGCCTCCAGGCGGCCCCAGCGGGTTCCGGGGAGGGAGATGCTGAGCTGTCCACGAGATTTCCCTTCCCTTCCTTGCTTCCTCCTGCAGCGCGCCAAAAAGCGGACCTGGGAAGACTTTTCCCAGACATCCCAGCCTGCAGAGGGCTGATCTCCCATCCTCTGGTTTTATAGATAAGAAAACTGAGGCCCCAAAAGGGGACGGGTTAGCCACACAGTCAGCGGCAGCGCTGGGACTTTACACATCAAGTCCCCTTAGCACCTCGACGCTACCTTCCAAAGCAAGTTTTTAATTTTTCAAAGCATCTCATCAGTAGCATTCCATTTGGCCCTCACAACACTCTGTGAGGTAGGGAGGGCGGTTCTTATTGTTTATATTTTACAGGTGATAACCGAGAGACGCCAGAGAGGCTTGCCCAAGTGGCAGAATGGAGGCTAAAAGCTTGGTGCCCAGACTTCCTGCCCTGGGGGGCCTGCCTCCTGACAGCTCTCTCACAGTCCTTTAAAACAAACAAACTCTGGAAGATCTGAGGGAGAGAAATGGCCCAGGCCCAGAGTCCTGGGGTTCTTGGAAGGCAACATCCCCCCAAGGCTTCCTGTTGAAAGTCTCCTGCCTCTGTGGTGCTGCAGAGCCTGCCTGCTGTGGTCAAAGCCTTGCAGGTGCCACCGTAGCTGGGGAAGGGTGCGGCACAAGATAGGGAACGGAAACCAGAAAGTTGGCACCAAAACTACCAGACTCCTTCAAGGGGTCTTAGTTGGGACTCATTTGCAGGACAGATAGACCATTGTCTGCAGTGAAACCACTGCCTCTATTTTTTTTTTTTTTTTTTTTTTTTTTGAGCCTCACTCCTAGGAGGAGGGTTTGCCTCATGTAGGAGTTTCATGCAGAGGTGTGGGGGTCCCATAAAGGCACTTAAGAAAAACTAAAGACTAAAAGAAAACCTGAAGGGCAGTGATGGTTCAGTGGTAGAATTTTCGCCTTCCATGGAAGAGACCCAGATTCAATTCCTGGCCAATGCATGTCATGAGCAGCCACCACCTGTCTGTTAGTAGAGGCTTTCGTGTTGCTGTGATGCTGAACAGGTTTCAGAGGAGCTTCCAGACTAAGACGAACTAGGAAGAAATGCCTGGCCATCTAACCCATTGCCTTTGAGTCCATTCCGACTCATAACGACCCCATAGGACAAAGTAGAACCACCCCCTAGGGTTTCCAAGGCTGTAGTCTTTATGGAAGCAGACTGCCACATCTTTCTTCCACGGAGGAGCTGTGAGCTCTAACTGCCAACCTTTCGGTTAGCTGCCAAGCAATTAACCACTGTGCCACCAGGGCTCCTTGCCTGGCCATCTACTATCTGAAAATGAGCCAATGAAAACCCCTTGGATCACAACAGTCCAATCCCCAACTGATTACAGGGATGGCGCAGGACTGGGCAGCATTTGTCTCATTGTGCATGGGGTCGCCATGAGTTGGAGGTCAACTCTACAGCAGCAAACAATGAAGACCTGAAAAGAGAGAAGACAGGAGTGGCTCAGCCATGATCTGTTTCCCTTCAAGGGACAGCTGGAGCCTCTACTGTGCTTGGTCACATGACCTTGGGCAGTTATAACTTACAACCACCGTTTATGGAGCACTTACCGAGAGGCAGTCAGGCACCATGCTAAGCACTTTGCATACCTTGTTTTGTTTAATTCTCACCACAGAAGATAATTTTATACACATTTGATGAGGAGGAAGCAGACTACTTTAGGTAACTTGCCCAAGGTCACATAGCTAATAAGTGTTATCAGCTAGGATTTAAACCCAAGCCTATCTTATTCTAAAGCCAGTGTCCTCTGTATTCTTTGGCCATGTGATGGCCAGGCACCACTGTTTTTTCACCTGGGAAATGAGGTGTCCTGTGATAATTCCTCATCCCTAGCGTTGGTCTGAATATCTGAGACCGGGCGGGGGGTGGGTTTTGATGGTCAAGAGGTAGTGCCAGCTTCAACTGAGTGCCAGTATAGTTGGGTCCACATGGGCCTTGCTCTGGTCTCAGTTTACCTAGACTGAGTAGGTACTGGAAACCCTGGTGGTGTAGTGGTTAAGAGTTCGGTTGCTAACTAAAAGCTCGGCAGTTTGAATCCACCAGGCACTCCTTGGAAACCCTAGGGGGTAGCTCTACTCTGTCCTATAGGGTCGCTATGAGTCGGAATTGACTCGACCACAAGGGGTTTGGTTTTGATTTGAGTAGGTATACTACCTTTTCTTTTGGCAAGTCTGTGTGTGCCCCGCCCTCTAGTGGTTTTGGCTTTCACTGCAGCAGTGACCTTGCCTGTACCTGGCCTTACCTCATGGAATTCTGTTTTCCCTCCCTTGAATAGGGGTGTCCTTGCAATGCTGGGCACTAGTACACTGAGATTTCTGGAGCACCAACACCCTCTCCAGTCTGAACCCTAGATCAGTGGTTTTCACAAACTTTAGGGTGTACTTCTGATTCAGTAGTCTGGTGTGAGACCCACAAATCTGATGCAGGCAATCTGCAGGCCACACCTTGAAAAGTAATGCTCTGTAACAGCTCTACTCTGTAATTTCTCTCTCCCTTCCCACACAAAGTTCTCTGGGTGGCACAAATGGTTTGCAGTCGGCTACTAATCAAAAGGTTGGCAGTTCAAACTCACCTAGTGGGGCCACAAAAGAAAGGCCTGACAATCTGCTCTCTTAAGGATTGTTACTGTAATTGGGTGCCTTCGAGTTGATTCCGACTCATAGTAGAACTGCTCCATAGGGTTTTCTTGGCTATCATCTTTACGGAAGCAGTTTGCCAGGCCTTTCTCTCACAAAACCACTGCATGGAGCTCAGCTGTACTCTGTAATACGTAAGGTTACCATGAGTTGGAATTGACTCGACAGCAGTGGGTTTGTATTTTTTCTGCCCCCACAAAAGCTCGCCTGGATTTTAACCCAAGCATCCTTGGGCTTTGGGATATCTGGGACCAACCCTCTTCATCCACCTCAGTACTGGGTTTCCTGGAGGTCATGGCTTGGTTAGTCAGGGAGGGAGGCTGCAGCTGCTCCGGCAGTCAGCCCATGCTGAGTGAGGTCAGCGCTTGCTGATCTGGCAGGGACAGAAGTGAAGGACACTAACACTTACTGCACCAACTGTGGGCCAGTGTGCCAAGTATTGTGCTAGGTATTTTCAAACAATCTTTTTTAATCCTTACAACAAACCATGAATGTATTATACACTCTGTTTTGTAAATGAAGAAATTGAGGCTCAGAGAGGTTAAGTATCTTTAAAAAGCTCACAGCTGGGATTTGAACCCAGGTTGTCTAACTCAGTGGTTCTCAACTGGGTGTGGATTTGGCCCCTAGGGGACATTTGGCAACATCTGGAGATGAAGACAGTTGACTGTCACGACTGGGGAGGAGGAGTTGCTTCTGGCATCTACTGGGTAGAGGCCAGGGATGCTGCTCAAGATCGTACTATATACAGAACGTCCCCCACAAGAAAAAATTATCAGGCCCACAGTGTCAATAGTGCTGCAGCTGAAAAACCCTGAACTCAAAGCCTGTGTTTCTTCCCTATGGAAGGGAAGGGGAAAGTGGGCAGAGCAAAATGGAGAAGGGCCTACCCTAAGGGCCTCGGTTGGGAAGGGGATGGGATTTCTATGGTAGGATAATGGGGAATAGGGGCAGCTGGTGAGACTTGGCCAGGGCTCTACTCAGTTTCCCCCAACCTTGCCAAGTCAGTCCTGGGACTTCACACTAAGCTTGTCCTGGAGTAACCCTGACTCCCGGCTCAGGGCTGAGGGAAAATATTTACCTGGGTCTACCTGCAGGACTTCTAGTCAAAGTCCCTGGTTCCTGGGTCAGCATGTCCCACCTGCAACCCCTGGGAAACACCACCCTTCCTGTGCGGTGGGGAAGGGTTGGTGGGCAACTTACCCCTGAGAGTAAAAAATGGAGCAGCCAAGGGCCAAGTGGCTTTTCAGAAGTGGAATGAATGGACAAAGCCAGGAGCAACCCCTTAGCAAGCCCCTGTCTGAACTGAAAGCAAGTAACTTGAGCAGGGAGTAGCGGGCAGCAGGTTCTGGCCCCAGGGCTTGCTTTCCAAGCCATTCCTCTCCCCTAGGCTTGGTCGTCTGCTTCGCTGTAAACCACCACCTCCTACCCAGTCCTGGAACACCCACACACCCAGTAGGCCATCTTTCTGGGCCTCTCCAACACTGGCCTCCCCACTAGACCAGGGAGGGTGGATTTGAGTTGACAGTACTAACAGGAAATACCTCTCGTTCCAAGCTTATGAACCTCGGAAGAACTAATAAGCAGATAGGGTCGGGAAGAGGAGGGAAAACTATCAGGTCCCTCATATTTGGGGTTCCTTCTTTCTTCACTCACCACTCATGGTGGGGGTAGGGGACAGGATAAAAGGATGGAGGAGGGAAGGCTGGGAGGAGGATGTGGTAACAGCTGATTCGTCCCCTGAGGTCACACTTTCCAACAATCAGCTGTTACTGGGGCGGAAGGCAGGAAGTTTCCTTAAAGGCACAATGTACTGAACACAGGCTCAGAATTCTGGAGCTCCAAGAAACTAATAACCGTTACATAGTAAAGC